CTCGGAGAAAACGGTGTGGCAGTTGTGTCCTTCAGGTATGTCCTTTCCTAACAGAAATGACAAGAAACATAAAACCTAATTATTGCAGAGCAAGTGTGTTATTTATGAAAGAGGTTTGTTTATTAAGCGGCTGTAGAAATAATATATCTTTTATTTTAATGTGTTTTTTAAATTCATCACATTGTACTAAAAAGATAATCAGATTATGAATGAACAGTCTGCAGTTAATCAACATTAAAATATATGTTATTATTAAAATAATATTCAACTGTTATCAGAACTTAGTGTAAATGTAGTATCATGCTGTTCGGTTGTCTCACTGCAAGAACCACTTTTACCACGTCTTTTACAGACAATATGTAGAGACAAATGGTAGCAATTCTCACAATGTAAAATAATAATTGCCTTAAATACATTGAAATGTGAAAGCTGACAAAAAAATCATGTTGCTTAGTAAAATCGAAATGTAACTTTTTACAAGCAAGGAACACTCAACTTCCCTGATGTCAGTGTTTAGTCATGTTCAATGGAATGTATATCAGTGTATTGTTACTTTATCTATTTAAACCAGAACGTTTCTCGATTAATTGTACAGTATGAAAGGGGTCTTTGTACCTTTCACTCCATGCTGAAGTTCACTGCTTCTAGGAATATAGGTCTGTCTCTCGTGTTCAGCATCCTCTGGTCTGTCTGCATCACCTGGAAACTTTAAACAAACAGATAGTAAAGTAACAATGTGTTGGTCACAAACTTTTTTACATGCAAACGTCATGTCATAATTGTTTTGTTATCCTTATAAAAAGTGCTGGATATCACAGCCCTTACTGTATCTTATCAGTTGGATTGTGTATTATTGTATAGTTGGGGTCCTTTTTATTTTACTGTTATTTTGGAATCTTTTTTCATGAGACATTCAAATTAAATATTTGTCCTATGCCATATTCACATTCATTTGTAACACACACGTAAGGGTAAAAGACAAACATCTTTAACAAATGTAATGCAATGAATACGCTTAATTGTCACAAAAGCACACATAACTTCATATCTAATATTTAAACAAATCATTTCCTTGTCCCTAAAGCATTGACTGAGCCATTTTTCATCCTTAAATGCAGGCATTAAGTTACATGTTCACGTTCTGCTACCACAATAAGTCGGTGTCTCCAGTGTAATGATAATAAAATGCTAAGTAAGTATTGGTAATAATATTAATAAAAACAACAAGATTTGGGTTCGTTCGTTTAATATGATGAACCAGTAAGCTTCAATAATCAACTCCAGCTCAACAAACCATATTGCAATATCTACGTTAACGTTATTTCTGGAACCAACAGGAAATGTGAGATTCATATTTTTTTAAATACACAGATCTTATAGTGAGGTTAATCTCATATACAGTACGCTGGTCTTCAACACTACTGTGACGCTAGCTGTCTGCATCGTCGAGCATAGCTAATTTAAATTAACAATAACAATGCATAAAGTTACCTAACTAGCAAACTAACGAGGATGACCGTATTTTACCATCGTCACACAGAAGCCTTTTGTTCTACAATATAATCGTTCTTACATTTTTTACACTTCTCTATTATAACTTGGATGCTACGGATAGCATCGTTAGCACAGATGTAGCTTAGCTGAATAAAAACACCAGTAAGAAATAAAGTGCTTGAATTTCACTTACCGAAGAAACTGCATTCATGGACGGTCTGTTTGAACCGCAGAGCCATAAGATAAGTCCGATATTTCATTGAAGAATACTCCACCAGGCATCAACACAACAAACACGTCCAAGTTCAAGTTGTGTTCTCCGGATCAGCTGAGCCCCTGTAGCAGCCTGGAGCTAATGAAGCTAACGGGGCTAACGGAGCTAGCAGAGAGACCACTAGCAGTTTGGTACTTCCGTTTCATTACAATGACTTCCGTTACAGCAAGAATCCCCCTCACACACACATAGGTGAAACACATGCACATTCCCTACTGAGAACCTTTCAGTAAAATGTTTTCAGTAGTATGTGTGCAAGGTATAATTTTCAGTAATGTGTGCTTGAGTATTTCAGTAGTGTTTGTGCAAGGCCAGATGTTTTCAGTAGTGTGTGTGCGAGGTGAGTTTGACATCTATAACACACACATTCAAAACACACACAGATTGGAGGGGAGATGGGGGGGAAGGAGGCATGAAGTACCTTTCTCTCCGTCTATCTCTTCCTTTTGACCCTCCCTCGCTCCCTCCAATCTTTCTAATGAGATTCCCACAGAGCTTGAGTCATTTAGCTAATGGATTTCCCTCCCGCAATATCCCACACACACACACACACACACACACACACACACACACACACACACACACACACACACACAACACACACACCATCTACACACACACACACACACACACACACACACACACACACACACACACACACACACACACACACACACACACACACACACACACACACACACACACACCACACACACACACACACACACACACACACACACACACACACACACACACACACACACCACACACACACACACACACACACACACACACACACACACAACACACACACACCACACACACACACCACACACACACACACACACACACACACACACACACACACACCAATGTAAGGCAATATGAGCTATTGAACCGCAACCATAGACTTTAGTGACTTTGAAAATGAAGGATCTTTTCCAAACAAAGATTGTGTCTTAAGTTTGCATAATACGATTTGTAGGCTTTGACATTTCTGCACGACCACAATACTTAATTCAGAATGCTATTTTGACACATATTTTACAAATATGGAGCCTCCAGGGATTTGGATATTGCACTAGTCCATATAGTGATGTCTATAAAATTGCTATTAATTGTTCAGCCCTAAATTTGAGCTTCAATTACCCCTTTTATGAAAATAAATCACACTTTAACTCTTACATTTTCTCCAGCCCCGCATTTTTACCCTTAAGTATTTCTATAACCTCTGAACTATTGAGCCTGTTCTGTCATCTTCATCCACACAAACTGTTTGTAACAAAGGCTTGATATAGGACAGGGTCAATTCAACTTAAGCAAAAACAACAGTTGCTTCAAAGATCGAAAGGTTCAGACATCTTAGATGATACTATTTGACAACCTCAGTGATACTGAAGCCCCAGATACTGACACAGCACAAACAGCTCGATACACAGCGAGTTGTGTCACAGTACAGAAAATGAAACCGAGACAGTGATGGATAGGACTCGGTGAAGTTAGACATTCATACTGGGTTCATACAGACAATGTACAAATTAATAGCTGAAGACTACTTTAATATGTTTAATACTTTCTTGTGACAAACTGCTAATGTTAAGCGTGTGGGAGACATTGTTGTTACATTATAATAATTTGGTTCTTGTAAAAGACTACTATCAAAATAAATATTGTTGGCAGTACTACAAGTGGAATAGATGGTAAATGGACTGTACTTATATAGCGCTGTATCAGGTCTTTTCAACCCCTCAAAGCGCTTACTACAAGTAATTCACCCTTTCACACCTCATTCAAGCAGTACCACTTGCTCTAGGGAAGCTAACATTCACACACACCGTTGGCCATCAGGAGAAACTCAGGGTTAAGTATATTTCCCAAGGATCGACATGTTGACTGCAAGGGCTGGGATCGAACCCACAACCTTCTTGTTGAAAGAAGAACGCACTCCCTCACAGCCACATTCACTCTTAGATAGGTGCAGTATACATTCATAAAAAGTTAGATCTAAACTTGAATTGAGCTAATTTACCAAACAGCTAATTGTTGATGCTTCTGATAGACATTATTTTGACCACAGTATGTTGGCCATCTTTTAGTAACTTAACCCTAGATAGCTGAGCAGTTCGAACAGCTCATTATGCATTTCCACACCCGGCGATATGGCAAAATACTACGAAAGTGAAAGAGATAAGCTCTTCAAAAACTTTAAGACTTACACATTTCAATAACTTGCATAAGAGCTCCAGTTGCTGCATAGTGCTGCTCCATGGCAGTTTATACTGTTTAGTTTGCAGGTATGTGTAGCTCAGGATGAATGTACTGTACATTGGGGTGTTGCAGAGAAACATGCATCCTCAGCCTCCTTGTACAAATATAGACTTTGAAAAAATAAATGGAGACTTTGAGAAAGAGCAGCGGCATGTGCCAAGACACACAGATTCAAACCGAAAGAGCCAATGTTTAGGTTGTGTTGCAAAACGTTTCAAATAAAGAGGCAATAAGGAAGGAGAAGATTAAAAAAAGATTGGATACAAAGGAGAACAAAGGAGAGCCCTTAACCTCTCTTCCTGCTAATTCTGTTGGTTATTAACTATCACTTGGCTAATAGAAAAAGTTATATAGAAATGGCTGATGCTATTTCTCCATACTCTCTCGTTTCCCTCCGTTACGTCAGAGAGCAATTTAGAATAACTTTAAGAAGGGCGTAAAAACCTTTCTTTTTAAAAAAGCCTTTTATTAAACTTGTGTTTTTAAAGGTAGGGTAGGTAAGTTTGAGAAACCATCTCGAGATCGCTAGAATTTGAAAATACACAACCGGAGAAAATCTGCCACTTCCTTACAGAGCCCCTCCTTCAACACACACGAACGCGCACATGACCAATGAGGGCACGAGATAAGTTTGTGCACAGATGGAAGGCTGACGGGCAGGTAGGCCATCCAGTTATTTTAGCCGGGCCGGCTAAAATGATTGGTCGTGCTTTTTACAGTATTACATTTTTTTATGGATTTTTTGTCAAAGCACTTAAGATATTCATTGCTATCGGGATGTTAAGAGCATTCCATGGAATATAACAAAAAGTGTATCTCGAGCCGGTTTCTCAAACTTACCTACCCTACCTTTAAGTAAGCATTTTATGCCCATTGTAGCACTTTGGGATTGCTTTTAGTAAAGAAAGGTGCTTTACAAATCAAATGTATTATTATCGTTATTATTTATTCATCTGAGACTCACCTACGACCCGGTCTCCAGTCTGGATCCCCATCTTCCTCATGGCTGCAGCAAACAACGCCACATCGCGCCTCAGCTCCCCATACGTCACCTTCACAATCTCATCATTTGCTTCCGCTGGTAGAAACAAGGAGGAAGTGAGACAAATGCACAGGAACAGATACAAACATATACATTTCTAAAAATGATTGTGGAAGCCGAGGACACTTTTATATATATTCTGATTGGTTTAGATGTATTAGGATTTGTGTAACATTTGATTTAAATTCTAACAATACAGTTAAAACTAAAATCCAAAACACTGAAAAATAAAAACAGGTAGACAGAGATGGAGACAGTAATAGAGATTGATAGTGTGCCAGGACAGAGACAGGCGCAGTCCTCCTTGTCTCTCTAAGTAATAGTTTCCTGACATTCACCGAGGCTCCACGGATTGATACAAATGAGCCATCCCATAATTACATTACGGCTCCTGCAGAAGGTTGTGTGCATGTGTATATATACACACAGATAGGGCAATAAAGAAGAGCCTGTCCATTATAATATGCGACAGCCCTAAGAGATAGAGGGAGCAGTGGTTAATATATTGACAAAGTGACATATGCAGCCTTGTGTCACCGCCATTTAGATTCTGTGCTCAAATGCTCAATTCTGTTATATGTTCTTGACTTCTTTCTGTTGATTTTATTTGCAAATACTAATTGTAAAGATGACAAAGTAGAAACCTCATCTCTCCCTGTATGATTTGAATGTGTGAAGGTGTTTTCTGCAGGAATATAACAAAAAATGACCGCTGTGTTGTGTGAAATGTTTTTTTTATGCATGGAATTAACACTGATCAATAAAGTCAGCATGCAGCACTGTGTAAGATTCATTTTAATCTGCATCAATTTCTTTCAATACTTACTTGCAGCATAGAGAGCTACTTTGTCTTGGTCTGCATGTTTGAGCAAGTTCTCAGCGTAGTTGAGCCGAGCTCCTTTAAACCACTCTGGCACATCTGAGACCCGTTTGGATACATCCACCACCTTGTACACACACACAAACACACACACACAGGAGAGAATCAGCACTGTAGTCAATCAAGGCCATGTATTTTAAGCTTTGGTGACCTTGCTATCACAGAATGTGAGTAAACAAATGGGATTGTGAGATAAAAGCACTAAAATCAGAAAGTAACTACTCTACACAATTATCAAGTCATTGCAACAGCTGATATTTTTACTGGACAAAATCAGTAAGCGATATGACAATTCATCATGGAATTGAATAGCCCAGCCCACTGTGCATTAATGTTAAAAGCAATTTAAATTAAAGATAACTTATCTGCTGGGACAGCAAACCTAACAAAGGGTTAAGTGGCTGACAAAATGAATGCTTGAAAAAAAATAATATGTGATGTGGAATTATCCATGTGTACAAATGAGGTGTCAACCTTTATTACATAACACGCCCACCAGATGACTTTATCCTGTTTCTAAACAGCATAAGGAGGCTAGACAGTAAATGAAATAATTTAAAGATAATATTTGATAAAGATGCGGTCATTTAAAAACAATCAGTGAAACCTACTTTACCAAACAGACTTTTAATGTAGCCTTGATAAGGTAGGTGCAATGCTAATGGGAACAAATGCCATTATATTTCTATATATTTATTTTTCTAGCAGCCCTTGATTAAAAAAATTTTTTTTTTTGAAAACTACTGGAAATTATGATAATTTATTTTAATTGTATTTTTAGATTTTAGTTCTTCATGTAATACTGAAAGTGGCTGTTGGATTTATGGCTGAGACCCCTCTCTCATCCAATGCTCCAGCAGAGGTTGGACTCACCTCTTCATAAGGTTTGGAGCTCACTACTCCACAGAAGCGCCACACTTCTGACCAGAAATCTGGGTAGCTGTCCACCGACCACTGGTACAGGTCATTGTAGTTGGCTAATGGACAGAGAAACAGCAATTACTAGATTCATAACACAAATATATTAATACACAGGTATGACCATCCTCTCAAACGTGAAGTTTGTACAGTTTTCAAATCAGATATAAGAACAAGTTAGTATAAGGCCAAAAAGGCAGAGTACCAGATTGTAATTCACTGATTTAAAGAGAAAGTAGTTCCCTCTATCAGCTTCTATCGGCTTTGATTACTAACCCAAATACAAACTCTACTAATAGCGTTGATGCCTGGTAAAAAGAGAATCTCCCATAAGGAATACACACATCTGCCACAGCTGTCCACTGCTCCCATCTTTCCCTCATGACATCTCTCTCTCTATCTCTTTCTTGTTCAGTACCCAGCAGAGGCCGGTTCTTCTGCATTCCTTCAACATTTCCACCTATTTGACACGTACACGTTTCAAATATGCAAATTAATTATGCCAATCTCTTTCATCAGGAACTGAGAGTGAGCGGCTGTGTGTATTGTAACAGCTATTTCATGAATAAGGGAGGGCTGACTCACATGCTATAAAAATTAATAATAGCATTAGTGTTTACGCCTGCAGTTTACTATCTCTTGTTTCTGTTTCTTAAAGCTGTTTTACAAAATGTAGAGAGGTTTTTATCAAGCAGGTTTTTATCCTGGGTTTAAAATACACAAAAACACAAGTGACAGCTTTGTTTTAGGGCAGGCCAAGATGGTGGAAGAAAGTGTTGACTTTGAACCTGTCACTGTCAGTATTAACATGATGAAGTTCAGATTGATGGTTGATTTTAATTTAATTTTTTTTATAAAAGTACTGGAGATCTGGACACATTCCAGCAGGTCTGGGGTTTCGAGGAAGTGCTCTGCTCTGTATCAGAGAACAACACTAATAATGGGGAAAGGTTCTTACGTAATTAATTTGGGGGAAGTGCTTTTTTATGTGACGTATTGTGTTTTTGTACACTGTGCAAAGACAGAGTGGCAAATAGGTTGACTTCAAAAATATTATCTAAATATGTCTCTATCTCCCTCTCTTTTCAGTACCCAGCAGAGCAGGTTATTTATAATTCTTTCAGAATTCCACCTAAATGAACACGCTTCAAAGATGCAAATAGAAAATGCTGATCTCTTTTATCAGGAACTTGGAGTGAGCTGCTGTGTGTATTTTAACAGCTGGTTTGATCAAAAAGGGAATGCTGAGTCACATGTCATAATTATTAATAATACCATTACACCTGCAGAGTGTGTATACCGGTGCAATATCTCTACAACTGAGCACCCCCTTTACATGGTTGCAAACCAAAGCTAGCTTGAAAAAGCACTGTAAAGCAGCTTTAGACAGTGGCAATTTAGAGGTATTGTAAGCCAATTGTAGGTAAGGTTATTAGATAGCAGGAGGAGGACACTGTTTCTAATTGTATATTTGACTCAGATATCCAGCTTCAGACGCTCAATACTAGCCGACATGTATAACACACTGTGTCTCTCTGTCTCTCTGTCTGTCTGGGTCGTTGTCTGCCTCCTCCCCTCCTCTCTACTCACCCAGATTAAGCCCGTAGTCCTTGTTGACCTGTATCCTAAACTTGTCCATCTGTGTGTTCTTCTTGGAGTCCGGGTACCACAGCACCTTGCTCTCCATGTCCATAATCTTCTCGCTCTTCCCTTCCGTGTCTCTAGACATCTTTTACTTTGTCACGTCCCTTTGTCAGATGAGAACCACCGGTAAGTGCGAGCTCCTTGCTGAAGCTAAACTGTCCCTGAGGAGAGCGCTTGTGTTGAATAAGATCACCGGCTATCTGCTTAGTTTGAAATGCTGGGGAATTACCGTGCGCGACAGCTAGCAGGGCTCTCTGTCAAAGGCAAGCGTGAGGCGGCCGAAGAAAACCGACAGACCACGCCCCGGCGTCATGACGTAGCAGAGCGAGCTGCGTTCAAGAAAGCAGTGTTCAAATCGTTCATTATGTACATATGGAAAAAACAAATATCTGTACAACAGTTTTCTGAAAAGCTCCGATTCCGAAACAGGGAAAAAAGTATTGTTTAATGGAGCTTTAAGAGGGTTCCGAGCACATTAATGTAAGTATGTTCCAGAAAGCTATATATCCACCTTTACTGTTAACCATTTTTAAATTCAAAAATGCTAAACTGAAAAGATGAGTTTGGTCAATTAAAAGCTTGCGAAAACCAATCATAATTTCCTTTGTATTTATTTTTTATTTATATTTCCACATGTCGACTATTTCAAGAAGCCTATAAGATACCCAGCATATGAAAATAAATTACAGATATTACAGATAAAGTGTCACTTGAAAGTTAACTATACTTTTATGTATCCAGATATTTAATGTGTAAAAATGTGTATCCAACCAAAGTATACTGATAAGTTGTTGAACTGTACGGCTTCACATTTCCACAGTATCAATCAAAATGTGAAAAGATTTAGGGGGGAAATGTAGGTATTGTGAATTATTACAATTATGTGTGCCTACATTTCAGGGGCAATTGTTATTTTTCTTCTAATTTGCTTAACTTTATTGTATGTGTATACATCTAAGACGGACGCTTTATCCAGTAGAAGTCTTGAACATATCCCACACGTGAACGCGCATTCAAGTTGAATAGACTTGTCTGTTGTGCACGCGGGAAACTTGCCTGTCGAAACCAAGGTCTTTGATTGGTTCTCAGGACTCTGGTTCCACATCAGCCGACTGATCGGTCTATGCAGGAGGCGTACCAAAGCCGTTCGACTGGCGTGTTGTTTGATCAATGGCAAGCTGGCATTGGGTCTTCATAAGCCAATCAGAGAGCAGGAGGTATGAACGTTTAAGAGGTGTGCCCAATCAGTGAGCACAAAGAACCACCGTCCTAACTATTTGATGGCACCATCTCAACTTGGATGTAGGCCTAGAGATGTTCTTTTAAACCAGAGCCCATTGCCAATCACATTGCCCTTGAACTTTTAACAGTCATCAAGTTCACATTGAAATCAACATTAAAGATGTCCTCAAAACCACCTGCAAAAGTGTGGGGTTTCACAGAGAACAACTTAAAGAGAAGGTTGCCAATACATCAGATTCCCTCCAAAATGAATTGCATTGGATGGGCATTTATTCGCTGTGAACAAAGCTTTGTCTTTAGTCTAAGCACTTAGTGCAGTGCTGACTTTGTGATGGCTCACAGGGAAGATAATGACTATGCTAACCTGAATGCTGTAACTTGTGTGATTACATTTTGTAATGTGGTATCTGTGTCCTTAAAAGTTTCCAAGGACCTAGAGTCCAAATTGCCAATATGGAGGTCTTGTATCTCCCACCCGATGTCTACCCTAAATTCCAAGCATGAGGGTCATACAGCTACATTCTGTGAAATCACAGTGTCAGCTCTGTCAAATTATTTCATAGTATGTCAGCAGCTTAACCACACATGTTTTGACGATGCCTTTCTCAAAGAGGCTGGTTGGACCTTGATAAAAGCATTAGTCTAAACATAAAGGGTGTAAGATATGATGATACCACAAAAAAGCACGACCAATAATTTTAGCCGGCCCGGCTAAAATAACTGGATGGCCTACCTGCCTTGTCAGCCTTCCATCTGTGCACAAACTTATCTCGTGCCCTCATTGGTCATGTGCGCGTTTGTGTGTGTTGGAGGAGGGGCTCTGTAAGGAAGTGACAGATTTTTTCCGGTTGAGTATTTTCAAATTCTAGCGCACTCGAACTGGTTTCTCCAAAATTACCTACCCCACCTTTAACTAACATGTGTTGTAGCCTGACCTTACTCTTTCTGTATGCTATACCATATGAGCTATGTACCATGTATGTTCATAAATAAAAACTTTAATAACAAAAAAACATAAAAAAGAGGTGAATCTGACATGGCTGAGGCACTTAAATTATTGTTAAAAAACTGAAGGAAATATTGCTGATGGGTTCCCTGCTTGCCACAAACGCTGGCTCAGCCACTAGTATTTTTTTCTTTTGGGACTTACCAAAAAAGGTTTATGATGTATATTTAAACAACCCTACCGCAGCTTTTTTACTTTTTAATCTCTGTAAATTGAGGTGATGGTTGTATTTAAAAGTGGCTGTGTTTGATTCAAAGAGCTCAACGGTGCATAGACATCATAGTTTTCAAAAAGCAAACATTGCTTTGGATGTTATCTTTTCATTAAATAAATTGATTGTAAATGTATGTGACTAGGGCTTTTAGATAACATCTAGTTTATAATGACTGTATCCTCTATGACCCAGTCTCACTGATCCAAACCTTTTTGTATTTGAATGATTCTGAGATGAAATTGACCTAAGTAGACCCTGGCTGAACTCCAAAATAAGTTTCTGTTTTATCTTTTTGGCTCCATCTCCACATTAGGCCATATTTCAAAAGGTCCAGCCAAATTTAAAATGTTGTAACATGCTATCAGTGAATTTGTTCATTTCCCAATGACTTCTCTTGTTCTGTGATGTAAAAGTGTAACTGACACATGTCTTTCCTGCATTAAAGTCATGCAGCATGATTTAGTATATTACAGCAGTACAACTACGTATGTCAATTGAACACTTTGTATTCTTTGGATTTGAGACCAACCTAGAGTGTATTATAGCAACTCGGTACCACTTTACAATAAGACTACCCTTATAAAGGGTTTACGAATAGTTTGTAATTAATTAATTAGGTTGTGAACACTTTATAAATCAATAATAAGCTTTTATAAGACATGAGATAAACAGGGCAACTGTGACCGGTTGCTTGCCAAATAGTGAGCCCACATTTATCTGTACTGCTAAGCCTTATATTGACTTAGCTTACTTAATCTTCTTCATCAGCCAGCATTCTTGGTATCTGTTGTTCACTGAGTTGATTATCCCCCTTCCATCTTGATGTTTCTTGGCATTGCTTATGACCATTTATGAATGAGTTACTAACATTTATAACTGCCAAAAGGGAGCCTTATTGTAAAGTGTAAAACACATTCCCATGTATTAATGAGTTACTACCATTTATAATTGGTAAAAGGGAGCCTTATTGTAAAGTGTGAAACACATTACCATCTATTGATGAGTCACTAACATTGATAACTACTGAAAGGGTGCGTTGTTTTTAAGTTTAATACACATGTCCATTTATGAATGAGTTATAACATTCACGCTGACCTAATACACATTTTTCACATGAAGTAAGATGCAACAGAACCAAGCAAAACATTTTATTCACACATGAAGAAAATCAGGACTCAAAATAATGTTTAGTATGACTGATACACATATTTAAACATAAAAGCTTTTCTTTTATGTTGAGGTCTACTACTTCTTGTTGAGGTCTACTAGAATATATTTATATTGTGCAATTTTCCAAACTCACATTGGTTTCTCATACAGCATCTCTGTAAACTACGTGTATTCACTGAATTTCACTCTCTGCCTTTAACGGCTCGTTGTAGCTCCAATAGCTAGCCCCCACCCTCCCTGTGAGCACAGTGTGCTCTGATTGGTCGGGACGTTGTGAATCGCGCTGAGCTCCGTGGAGGTGTTGTTTCCTTGTTAGCGATACACAGCCAAACACAGCCATACTCATCCTGAGCACACACAAAGTCACAGCCGAAGTAAAAACAATAAGTGTGGCTTGATATTGAGTAAGAAAAAGTTTGATAAACGCTGTGAGAATGGGTCTGCAGAGAGAATTTTGCCGCGATCCCAACTGTCTGTTATCAGCCTGCACAGGGAGGAGAAATCAGCTGAGCTGCCTACTCCCTGCACGCAGATGTGTGTGTGTGAGGAAGTCCGTGGATTGGTCAATTTGGACCAATCAGCGGGGGCTTAACGTAACGGCTCCGCAGACGTAACGTAACGGCTCCACGGATTGGTCCATTTCGTTCCGGGTACGGCTTGACATCATGCCGTACCCGGAACGAAATGGAAGAATCAAATGGACAATGACGTATCTCCAACGAGGCGTTTTGGGGAGGTATTTTCTGTGTTAGAGTTTTACTCGCTACAGGGTGTACTTTGAGGGTTTGTGACTCTGCACACCGTTTACATGCATAAAAACCTTCATAACACACAAGGGGACGGGTAATAACCGGAAAAGCATGACATGGGCCCTTTAACATTAATTAACGTTAGCTGACTAAAAACATAAGCAACACATAAATGAAGTACTCAAATTTCACTTGCCGTGTCTGTTTTAAACGCGGAGCGAGTCACAATAGTACGATATAAGCATGAAGAATAGTCCACAAGGCACCAGCACAACAAACACGGCAGAGTTCAAGTAATGTTCCCCGGATGAGCTGAACAGGCAGAGCCCCTGTAGCATCACGGAGCTGCTAGCAGAGCAGAAAGCTAACAGCAGCAGTCACTGGACAGACCTGTCACTCAATGTCGCCACGCCCTAATTTATGCATAACTTTAAGGCTTAATATAACTAATTATAAATGGTAGTAACTCATTAATAAATGGTGATTTGTTTAACACTTTACAATAACAATTTGTACCAATTATAATGGTTGTAACTCATTAATAAATGGGAATGTGTTTTACACTTTACAAGGCTCCCTTTTGGCAGTTACAAATGTTAGTAACTCATAAATAAATGGTCATAAAGAGATGCCAAGAAACATCAAGATGGAAGGGGGGAATCAACTCAGTGAACAACAGATACCAAGGATGTTGGCTGATGAAGAAGACGAAGTAAGCTAGGTAGCCAACATAAGGCTTAGTCATCTTGCCAAATAGTGAGCCTGTGTTGATGTATGTTCTATGTTAGAACTGGTTTATAAATGATTCTTAATGATTAATAAAGTGTTTACAACCTAATTATAAACCATTTATGAATCCTTTATAAGGGTAGTCTTATTGTAAAGTGGTACCAACAACTCTCTTTCAACTGGTTTATCTTTTTCAGTGGGGACATGATCTAAATAAGCCGAGAAGGCCTTGTATATAGTTATTATACGATCATGACAAATAATTAACTTAATTGAAAGATCAAAAGTTCCATGAGAGCATATATAGTATACCCTAACTGTTACCACCGATTTAAACTGAAAATGTCAGATCAAGGAAAGGTACTTGTGAGAAATTACCAGGAGAAATCTGCCTTTTAGTTTCTAACAGAAAACAAGTTGTGTGATAACTTAATGATCTCAAGATAATGGCATTACAAAAACATTATAATGGCATGCAAGGAAGTTATTCACTCCTGTATTAAAACTACATGTATGCTTTTTTACGTTGATATTTTTTACAAGATTAGCATTAAATGGAAGGGAGTTTTATAAAACACATTGGATCAAGAAAGCTCCAATGCTTCATGATACAAATTCTAACATGGTAATCCATTGAATTAAACTTGTTTGCACTGATGCACTACTTGAAAGTGTTTAGGACCCTAATCCAAAACCCTATACAGTTGACAGATGATGTCCAGTAGATGGCGTACACGGTACACAACAAACATGTGTGTGGGTATGGACCAGGCGTCAATTAGACGCCTGCAGCTAGTCCAGAACGCAGCTGCGCGTCTTCTCACTGGCCATAAAATGCGTGACCACATCACCCCAATTCTGGCCTCATTGCACTGGCTTCCAATTAGGTTCCGAATTGATTTTAAACTCCTTTTATTTGTTTTTAAAGCACTAAATGGGCTGGCTCCGCCCGGTTTATAGCTGAACTCCTCCATCGCTACACCCCAGCCAGAGCTTTAAGGTCGGCTGACCAGCTGCTGCTGATAGTGCCCAAGACCAGGCTCAAAACCCGAGGTCACCGACACCGAGCCTTCGCAGCAGCTGGCCCTAGGCTCTGGAACACTCTGCCCCTCCATGTGAGGTCGGCCCAGACCCTAGGGTTTTTTAAATATACACTAAAGACTCACTTCTTCTCCCTGGCCTTCTAGTTAGAGCGGATTAGCCTACGACTCCTGACATTTCCCTGTGTTTGATTTTTATATTTGCTGTTGTAATTTATTGTCTTCTGTTTGCTATCGCAGTAAAGTGATTGTATCCATTTGCATGTAGGCTACAGCACTTTGGCTCGACCAAAAATCGTTTTTAAAATGTGCTATATAAAACTTGATTTGATTTGATTTGAGTCTGTGGATAAGACTTGAAATTAAAACTTTTGTTCTGTGTTTAGAGGAATATTGTAAGTTTGACACCATAATAAAAACAAATAATAAAAACAATAGCCAATACAAAACAATAAATTAAGTTATTGTCTAACAATGCAGACCTGCACAGGTGATACCATACCCACCTGCAACACCTAACACAACAAAACATTCTGCTAAAACATTTTTATGAATTGTTAAAATTTGAGACTCCCCAAAATGTCTTTCAGACTTTTTGTATTGGACGTTTTTCTCTATGGTACATCCATGAGTACATCCATGGGTTCATCACATGATTTAATCGTGTCCTGACGTCATCACCCTTCACGGAAGTCAGCGCTGGCGACGGTGGCGGCCTCTTCAGCCTAGCAGCAGGAAGAGGATGTTCGCTTCCAGTGAAAGAATAATATCACCTGATTATAAGCCTTAATAACAGAACAAACAGCCGTGGAGTTTTCTGCTGAGTCTGCCGGGATCTACACAGCGGATTTCCCCCCCTTGAGCCGGCCTCTGTGAGTCTGAAGCAGGGCGCTGGATAAAATGTCCCTGTTCCAGTCAGCACTGGATTTCCTAGCCGGGCCCGGAGCGTCCGGACTGGCAGGCCGGGACCAGAATGACTTCGTGGGACAGGTCGTTGAGCTCGGTGACATGAAGCTGAGGATCAAGAGGGTGATCGCTGAAGGTGAGACGGTGTGAGACAACGAGAAATGTTGATAACGTCGGTCGCTGCTAGGCATGCTAAGTAGCTGAACGAGCTAACAGGCTAGCAGTGACATATTTCTACTGGTAGTCAATGACAATAGCGTTTGCACCTGCAGAGCTATGAGTCACCATGTAAACACCAGTTGATAATGTGGCTTCGATCGTTCTAAAAGCATTACTACATTTCAAGATTGTGATACATAGAAAACCTGAAGTTTCAGGTTGCATGGTGCGTAAACGTAGCATTTATCTCCGCTGGGCTTCAAATCATGATAATTTCTGCAGCAACAGCATAGCTGCATTTTACTTGTCCACCAACTCCCAACCCACAGATTGCTACAGAGCCCAAACCGTATCATCTTCCTTGGTTAAAATACATTTTAACCCACAAGAAAGAACATAGTATAGTAGAAAGATATGAAGTAAACATAGAAATGATGGCAATGTTATTACCAAATCTCTTACTTTTTGAAACAGTGAAAACACTTCTGCAGAGCTCTGCTGGATTCCTCTAAGGGAGATAATGGCTGAGTGCATGTACTTTTTGATCAAATGTGTTCTTTAACTGTGTCCCATCATCCTATTCTGCAAAATGATATGGGTCCACTATTACTGCGACATTAGATCACAACTAGAGAATGCAATTCCTGAAGAAATTGCTAGTGGGAATGCTTTATGCTGAAAAGCTGACGCTAAACTGCTATGCTGAAATGTAATGTGTAAGAAGAAAGTGAAGAATTTAGATTGAAATGATACATGAACACTGGGGGCTTGAATGTGTGATGAGAGAAGAAAAGAAAGTAAAAAGGCTTGGAAAAGCAGCAGAATATTTGAACTGTAAACTTTTGAACTAACTTGATGGTGAATGATCTGTCGCCATGCCAATGGCATTTGATGACATCCAATAATACGCTTAGATGCGTTGATGGCTGCATCGTTACCAAACCTGTGAAGTTTTGGGCCGTTTGGAGCATTTTCACTGAAGTTATGAGAACCGTGTTTCATGATGAGCATTGTGTTGCCATGGCAACGACATTTGAAGAAATCTCAAAACTGTCACGGCTGGACTGTTAGCACACATGTGAAGTTTGAGCATTTTTGAACATTTTCATAGGAGTTATAGCGACATCGTCTTTTATGGCGAGGGATGTGTTTCCATGGAAACGGCATATGATGACACCCCATAATTGACGTAGAGATGTTGAGGGCTGGACCGTTAACCATTATCTGTAGTCTGGTGCTGTTTTGACCCTTTTCATAGGCGTTACGACAACATCGTGTTTTATGGCGAGTGATGCGTTTCCATGGAAACGGCATATGGTGAGATTTCAGATTTGACGTAGAGCTGTTGAGGCATGGAGAGGTGATATACAGGTGAAGATTGTGGGACGACCGGACCGTGTCCATTGGAGCTACAGCGACATCGTGTTTTATGGCGAGGGATGCGTTTCCATGGCAACAGCCTATGGTGAGATGTCAGATTTGGCGTAAAGCTGTTGAGGCATGGACCGATGATATACAAGCGAAGTTTGGGGGACGATCAGACCGTGTCCATTTGAGTTACAGTGACATCGTGTTTTATGGCGAGGGATGTGTTTCCATGGAAACGGCATATGATGACACCCCATAATTGACGTAGAGCTGTTGAGGGCAGGACCATTAACCATTATCTGAAATCTGCTGCTCTGAGCATGTCAGTTGGAGTTATGACATCATCGTGTTCCATGACACAGGTGTTTATATTTGAGCTAACGACGTGTCCAGAGATCAAAAGTTTCCATTTCCATTGTTCTGAATGAGAGATAAACCTCTTGCATGTGAACGTTTTGTTGAAGAATCGTAACAGATATCAGTGAAATTTCAACGCGTGAAGCATGTCAAGGAACTTGAGCATCTGAAGAGTACTTTTTGTGTACTTTCGGGTTAATAATGTGGCCTTTTTGGCAGATTAACTAAAGGTGTGCGGCTGCTGTGGTGGGGAAAGATGAGGCTGAACTTACAATGGGGTTTAATGGAGACATGTTGACAGTTTTTGTCACTTCATGCCCTCAAGAGGCATTTTGTTTAATTATTTTGCTTAATTTTTTTTAATTTTTCAAGCTACGAGATGTTTTCCTACGTTTCTCATGAAAAATGATGTCTCAGGAATGTAGGGTTTGGGAATTATGGCAGGTTGAAAAGAAAATATGAAGGCAAAATTAAATCTGTCCTCCACTCTAGCTGTGACATCACGCACTCTAAAATCTGAAGAAGGCCTCTTTACCAAGGTCTGAACAATGTTTAATATCTCTAAAAGTACGAATCAGATTTAAAAGTTGTGTTACACGAATAATGTCAGAAAGATGTGTAACATTTTAAAGTTGGAATGAGGTTTCTGAGTGAAAGTATGAAGGAACAGTTAGCAGTTGAAGTTGCATGAAGATTGTTGAAGTCTGAAGAGTTTTCCATTGACTTTCATGTTAAAAATGTGATGAATTATGGGATGTATCTCTGAAATTATGAAAGTTATGAATGAGAAAAGTAATAGCCATCGATTCCCGACCGAGCTGAACGTTTTGATGTTTGAACGGAGTTTCTGCGATGTGGAATGTGGGAGAAGAAGAGGTGCAAAATAACCCGGCGGAATAATACATAATTTTGTGCGTAGCATAACAGATAGTGGGAATGCTGTATCAGCATTCCCACTAAATTAGGTGTCTGAGTTTGAATCTTTAGAATCAACCTGTATTTGTTTGTCTGCAACAACTCTGGTTACAAGGCACGTGTAACCCAGAGATCAGGCTCCTTCCCTTCTGGCAGGGAACAGGGATTCTTGCTCTCATTGTGAAGTTGCACGACATTCTTACTACACTATCATGCATCTTGAGTTCCTTGCATAGAGGTAGAGCCGACTGTCATTGTGGAATGTAGACCTTTATGTTGGGTGTACTATGTAAAAACAAACTTGTTTAATCAAATGTAAATGCAAACTGTAAATGATCTAACCAGGAATGCATTTCACAGAAAATCTGTTTAACATGCAGTGAGATGAGTTAGTTCCATAAATAAGTAAGTCATTGTCCAGTGTCAACAGTTTTCAGCATGGTCAAACCATTAGGTCAGAGTTGAAGCAATCCATGTTGTTAAGTTTATTCATTATTATGTAATTCAACACAAGCCTGCCAAAAAAACATAACCAAAATTAGCCCTCTCTAATTTAAATGTGCCTTTAACAACTCTTAAAAAGTCTAAATGATTCCCTTATACTAACTGTTGACTAGTCGCATCATGTAGTCGGTGGAAGAACGGCAACAACAAGGTTTCCATAGAAAATAACGGCAAGTCTCTTTGTTGTGTCATTTGAAAAAGTACAAGCTCTGTTCACTTTAACTTGCTGACTAATTCTGACCGATTGCTTCAGGACCCTAAGTGTAAGGAAACCAGTGTTTCTCCGGCAGACAAAGTACCCACTTCCATGTCCTCTTTGTGCAACCCTCTGACTCACTCATAGGTATTCAGTCCCTACAGCATTTTAAATAGATATACTGTATGTAGAAAACAATGTTTTCTTTAATATATAGTTATGCATATGCTAATAAAAACATAAAGGTATATCTGGAGAAAAATAAAACTAACTGGGCTGCAAAAACAATCAACAAGTTGATTTTTAAAAGTCTTTAAATTGTCAGTATCTTGTGTGAATTGCCGATCCCAAAACTCAACTTACAATTAAGAAGCCACAATTAATGCTTTCCATTTTTGCTTGATAAAATAATGACTTAAAATGGTTGCCTGTTTCAGCATTATTTGATCAAAAGTATATTCAAGGTGTTGTGATCAGCCATGACAGTTGAACAGAGGTTAGACGATTCACATCTGCCCTCTGCCCTTTTCAAACTCCCTTTCTGCTCTTTGAAAGGTGTCTCTGTTGTGTTTCCTCAACCAGATCTTTGGTGAGAGAATACAATGGATGGCTATAACAAGCTCATCCTATTTTCTTAGGGCCAACACTAGTTTGTCTGTCAATTGATGTGTTGCTTGTTGCAAAAAGTCATCACACAAGTGGTGGTTGTCATCTTGTTTGAGCTCATTCTTTTGAATTCTCTCAATGAATATATCCACCTGAATGAACAGTTTGTTTGGGAGCAGTGGCCCTTAGCCTTCCATTTGGCCTTCATGCCCTCATCTGAGCAGGTGAAACTGTAGACACGTCTCTTTGTTAAGAACCAGAGTGGAAATACTGTGTTTCATTCCTTACTATCTATTCCTCTAATAATTTTCCCAAACCACAAAGGTATTGTCATAGCAAGATTTAATCAATTCTGGTATGATGGAGTAGGATTTTTACCCTCATTCGTAATTAGAGCAAAGAAAATGGAGCATTTCAGATTTCAGCCCTTTTGGCAGAGAAAGACAGAGGAAGCCATGTGATCCCCAAAAGGGGCGTCTGTGAATCCTCACTGCAAAGCATGGCACATTCATGTTGCTGTAATGGACAGTAAATTGTGTTTTTTGATAGCCAATTGTTGCTGTGTGTACAAAGGTAAAGTGTGTGTTTTAAGCGTAGGGCATGGACTCAAAAATGCAATAACTCCAGTGTTTTGCTTTCATGTTTTCCTTTCATGTCACAAGTGTCAGTGACCATAGGGTGGTTGGTCTGAATCCCTGGTGAGGTTAAAACAATTAGGACTACTTCTCCTGAGCAAAAAAGGTTTAAAGATTAGGATCCTGAGTGTGATCATTCAAGATTTTTCGGAGCAAAGCAAGGCTGGTTGTTGATTTACTCATCACTATGGTAACCTACCCCTGGCGGCAGTGGCTCAGTCTGTAGGGACTTGGTCTTGGAACCGAAGGGTCGCCGGTTCACGTCCCGATCGGACCAAAAAAAAAGATGGAGTGAGCTGGTAGCTGGAGAGGTGCCAGTTCACCTCCAAGGCCACTGCCGAGGTGCCCTTGGCCTTGAGCAAGGCACCTAACCTCGAAACTGCTCCCTTGGCGCCGGGTACCTGGCAGCCTCTCTGCTCTGCCACCTCTCCTATCTGCATGTGGTTGTGTGTGTGTGCATGTATATCCTCTGTGTTTGTGCATGTATATCCTCCCCTGTGTGTGTAATGTGTGTAAACACAACAGAGTGGGGAAAGACATTTCCCTGTGAGGGATTAATAAAGTATATCTGCTTCTTCTTTTCTTCTTCTTTGTTTGGACTGCTTAATACATGGACATACAAAGATGGACCCACTTGATGGAAAAAGTTAGGAAATGAAAGGTTCTTGTCCACTTGCCACAGTGGCTTTTAAATGAATATAACATTTTGAGTTATCACGAAAAATAAATTGAAACTACACTGGCAGGGCCCATTTTAATTAACTTGGCTTTCAGAGGAACTGATTGTTCATCAATTATGTTGTAATTGGAGCAATGTGCTGCTGTTCTATTAAAAACTCTGTCTCTTATCTCCCATATATTTTATTATTACTGCAGCGTTGCCCACATTGTCACCAGTTCAGGTTTTTCAGCTACACCCTCAGTTAATGGGCGTATATTCAGCAAGAGATTAGCAGTGGCCCAACACTTTGAGGAGTGAGATTGTGTTGTTCTTGAGCAAGGCACCTAATCCCCCTTTTCTCCAATGTTGCTGCTCAGTGGCCAGCAGATAAGACTGTGGTTACACTTGGCAGCCTGCAGGCATTAACGTTTAAGAGTGCATGTAAAGCATGGTTTAAAAAATCAGCGCTGGGAAATGTTCCTTTATTTGTTTATTTTTGCTTTTTAATAACTGCCCTAAGTGACAGAGCAGTGACATGTATACAAATATACCAAGTGTGAAGCCTTTGTTTCAATGAATAGTACTACTTTTGAACCAAACAGCCGGTCATCAATTAAGCCGATTGCACGTACAACAATCAGAGCAAATTACAAAAACTGCAAAAATGTATTACAGCTCTTCCTGCGCTGAACAATTGACGATTATGCATAATTTCGGAGCTCAAGAGTGCATGTGCTATTCACATAAATGTAAACAAAATAACAACCTGGGTGCTCTCTGTTTTTTCTCAGGTGGATTTGCCTTTGTGTATGAAGCCCAGGACATGAGCAGTGGGAAAGACTATGCCCTCAAGGTAAGACACAGGTGGACTCACTGAGGACATTCTACCTGCTGCTTGATACATGTGGAGCCACTCTCCCTTTGTGCGTGTTCTTTCTTTCATTCATTCATTCACTTGTACGAGGCATGGCAATGGCATGGCATGGCAAATAATGATACATTGGACTCTGTCCACATAAACATTCTTATTCTCAAATACATTGTATGCAGTGAATTGTACCTACTTGTAGTAAATATCAATCAGTGCTAAGACTGCTTATGTGTATGTTCTGTGTTACCTTTATGACTGGACTTAAACATCCAACTGGACATTACCCTTTACAGTAAAACAGTACGAATATACATTAAGACACTACTTCTCTATGTATGTTGTTGATAATATTGCTCAATAGACATACCCTTAACTAAGTCCACTTAGGGTCCTGTCCTTAGAAAAAGAGAGAATGAAAGAAGAACGAACAAAAGAAAGAAAGAATGAATGAATTATGGAACAGTTTGGATTTTGTTGGGACCATCTGCTTCATGTTTTAATATTCTGTCCATGTTGATTGTGTACTCGTGCATTTATCAACTGCGTATACTCTCTTCTGTGTAATGCTGCTGAAAGGTCAAGATGCTGTTAGTTTTGTGTTTACGTTCAGCAATTGCCTGTCAACATTTGTAATGCAGGACAACAAAATGATAACTACATGATTGAGGAAAGCAATGTGATACATTATGGCCATGTTCAGGTTCTGCTTGCTTGCTAACTTCCTTTTTAGGTTTCTTTCTACTGGGTCTAAACCCAGACTGAATTGTGTAAGTGTCCATTGAACTCCACACTCCACATAATCAGCAGGAGCAGTCGATCGGTTATCCTGTTTGACTTGGCAAACACCAGTCTTCTCTCATGTTCAAAGCAAATACTGTATAGGCGGTTTATTGATTGTATATGTAGGGACAGTCATGTTTGCCGTCTCTCTTTGAAAGATGATGTCTCACTTGGTCGCAGAATAACAACAACCCACTGTTCTCTGTTTGTGTGCTTTTGTTACAGAGGCTGCTGTCCAATGAGGAAGAGAAGAACAAGGAAATCATACAGGAAGTCTGCTTCATGGTATCCTTAATCATTTCCACACCATGATAAAAATACTTGTTCTTTTCTTCTGATCAGTGTTCTGAGTACGTGACAAAGGCAACTCTAACCCATTCATTTACAAGATTGTGGAATGTTTGTCCAGCGTAGTAAACTGTCATTATTGGATTATTTGTAGTTTACAGGCAACACCACACATTGTCAGAATGCTCAATGCTCGCACTAATACATATTTACAGTGTTTAGTTTCATAATAGCATTGTGGTTTGACAAAGAAGACCGTTAAGTTACTTTTGTGAATGTTTCTTGAAGCACTCCAGTCTGTTTCTTGTGTTAGGTGGTGTGACGAGCAGGACAGAAACTAAATACATTTGAAGGCTTTTATTTACAAATGTGGTTTTCAGTGGTTGTCAAAATCATTTAAAGATATGTTTCTGCATCTAAATGTCAAATCACTGAAGCATCCACTGTATTGTAATGTTTCAGGAGAAGTTTTATTTCGTAGAGGTTTTCTTTTTTTAAATGACATAACTAACAGATTGGAACTGTAACTGTTTTGTCGAGCAGCTAAAAATGCTCGGACATCACTTATACTGCGGTGTGGTTTCAAGATGTATAGCACATTGTGGATTGGGTTCCTCTTACCATTCCCACATTGTGTATTCAGATCCTGACTATTTGCATAATGTTTAATGCCTCATGCTGATGAGGCAGAATAAGAGTCTGAAGCCAACAATAAATTCTTCCTATCACCCAACCGTAATCTCTTCCTGCTGTCACTGTGTTAACAGCAAGCTACAGAACTGTTTTACTGTCTGTGCTTGGCTCTCTATCAGTGGGTGGCAGACTTGGAATAATTAAGTTAGTGATCACAATAATGATTCATCTCACTAAGTCACTTATATCATATAAAAAACACCCTCCAAAGTGTTTGTTAGATTCAACAAGCCACAGGTGAACTGAACGCTGCTCCCATCTTCAGAAGATGTTCAGTATTTTGTATTTGAGAATCCAAAGTAATGTTTAAACTGTACGCTCCTTGACCTGCTGGCTCTGTAGAAAAAGCTGTCGGGTCATCCCAACATGGTTCAGTTCTGCTCCGCTGCCTCCATCAGTAAGGAGGAGTCGGACACCGGACAGGCGGAGTTCTTGATCCTCACTGAGCTGTGTAAAGGTAACTGCACACATTATCTCACTGCTTTCTACTTTGTTTTCTACTTCTATCTTTGTTTACTTCTTTACAACTGCAACAGTACTTATTCATTCATCAAACCAAATGAGATATCCCGATCGTTCAGCTATTTCAAGAAAAAATACAACTGAGAATACATTTTTCATGAAAGATAAGTTAGCTAAAGGAAATACATTTGGAATCGGAAGGTAAAAACTGAAATTGTAACCAGCCAGGAAATTTGCAACCAGTGCATCTCTACTGATTAGTCAGAAGTCGCTCTAACCGAAAAGGCAGTCGTGATGAAACAATTTCCTGTCAGCGATATTTCAACTTCCTGCTCTACTCTGTGAGCAGAGGGGCCTGTTAAGAGTCCGAGGGAGATTAAAGGACAATGCTAACCCCAGCCTCAGCCTGTCCCCCTGCTGCCATCTGGCACGAGATACAGAAGATCTGCTGAAGTACGTCCAGACTACAGAGCAGCTCTTTCCCTCAGGCTGTGAGCCTTCTTAACTCATCCTCCACTGGAACACAAACACTTATTTTTTAACTGTTTTTATTATGTAGCAGAATGGAACTAACTGCATGGTGTTGTCCAATAGGAATATATTATACTTGTACTTCCTTTGTGTTTACCCTGGCTCTTCATTTATGACACATTTGTTTGAACACTTTTGAGTGATTAATCATTGCATTTGGTGCATTTCTTCATTATTTGATAATATTTTATAACATAATTCAATACTTTTATCTGTGTCATATTTTCCAAATGATTTAAAACATTTAAAATCCACAGAGATAAAGAGGCATCTGTGGAGTGAGGAGTCTTACTGTATGGCTCTTCATTCATGTATCTGTGTTATATCTCCCCCCCCCCCCCCTCAGGTCAGCTGGTGGACTTTATAAAGCGGGTGGAGCAGAGGGCTCCCATGTCATGTGACACTGTGCTGAAGATCTTCTACCAGTCGTGCCGCGCCGTGCAGCACATGCACAAACAGAAGCCTCCCATCACACACAGAGACCTCAAGGTTTGTACTGAGTGAATGATGACGTCTCCATAACATGCAGCAGCAACAGGATTGAGTGAAATGAATGGAACAATACATTTTGTCATATGACTGAGATTGAACCATATCCCACTGTAATCTAAAGCACAACAAATACTTGTACTATAAATAAGTGGCTTCCACATTACTAATTGTTTATTACATGTGTACTAATGGACATTCCAACCCTCTGCTGACTTGATTTGTTGCAGATTGAGAACCTCTTGATTAGTAACCAGGGCACCATCAAGCTGTGTGACTTTGGCAGCGCCACCACAGTGTCTCATTACCCCGACTACAGCTGGTCGGCCCAGAAGAGGTCCATGGTGGAGGACGAGGTACACACACAAGCACACACACTCTCTCAATAATCTATATAATACAGTTTTTACATACAGTACATCCTCTCACATAATAGGTCATTTCATATCTCTTTAAACATATCGCAAGACGTAGCAGAAGTTGTTGTCACAAAGGTCAAGATTTGTTGCTATATCAATTTGCTCAAACTCTGATACTTCTAGTATATTTGTTTTTAATAAAAAAAGAAAATGTAATCGATTTAAAATAAAATAAAAGGTGTTTTGTAATGCATGTTTCCAGAATGAAGTCTCACACTACATAAGCATTCTATTTGAGGCACTAGTTTTAATTTGTCATTTTTTTAAGACAAAAGGAACTGCCAGTTTTCTTAGACTGCATAATAAATACTCTAAATGTCCCTAAAAGAGTTATTTCAATCAATCAATCAATGTTTATTTATATAGCCCAATATCTCAAATGTTACATTTGTCTCAGTGGACTTCACAGTTTGTACAGAATATCAGTATGACAATACGACACCCTCTGTCCTTAGACCCTCACATCGTACAAGGAAAAACTTCCAGAGAAAACCCACAGTTTAAAGGGGAAAATGGGAGAAACCTCAGGGAGAGCAACAGAGGAGGGATCCCTCTCCCAGCACGGACAGACGTGCAATAGATGCCGTGTGTAAATCGAAGAGATAATACATTTGACAGCATAGGTAGACCAAATGTTTGGAAATGCATGTGTCTATAATAAGAAGATGAATCCACGAGGATGTCAACAATCCTGTGGGAGCTATCAGCCATTCAATTATTTCTTTAATTGAATGGGGAAAAACACATACAGACGTTTCAAGATTCAAGGCTTTATTGTCATATGCACAGTAGCTACAGTGTAGATATGGCAATGAAAAGCTGAATTCCCAGGCTCCTCCAACAATGCAACATGCAAAGGACATAACACAGATAAAACCAATACAAATAGTGCAAAAAAGGATCAGTGACAATACTGACGTCATGGTGTCGAACTAAAACCAGAAACGTTTGATTTAATTAACAGCTAGAGGTCCAGGAAGCACAGATCAACCATGATTATATTTATACCGTAATCACACGACACACAGGAGCTTTGACACAGATGACCTCAGTGTGCAGGACCCCAGGGATCCTGGTTCCTAAATGTAATAAGCTGCACGTCAATCTGGCACCAGTTTTCAGGCTCCATTTTAGGATGGAATATCTGAGGCGGGCATGTGTTTATTTGAGTTCAAATAATGTCTTTCTCAAAAGCATGCCCAGCGTGTGGGAACAAATAACTGTCATTTTAATTTAAAAAAAAGAAGAAGAAGAATTAAGTCCCAAGGTTCTCTAAAAAAGTTGCATACATGAACGTCATTTAAAGATTCACCAAACAAGCCTGATACTTGGATCTATTACAAGACCCATGGTTGTGGAAAACGTGTTTGTTTGTTTATTTTATTTTATTTTTCTATTTGTTTGTAGATCACAAGGAACACCACTCCAGCGTACCGAACGCCAGAGATGATCGATCTCTACTCCAACTTCCCCATCAATGACAAGCAGGACATCTGGGTCAGAGCTTTTTCCCTTTTCTTTCCCCCAATGTCACAGCTAATCCAAGACCATTTGTAGTTAATATGTTACTCTTGCTACAGCAGAGCTTTAGAGGAGAGATTGTGCGTGAAGGCAAGATGAGCTAAGATTAGAACATCACATTTTCTAATTGGTAGTTATTACGTGAAAGTGTAAAAAAAAAAAAAAACCTTGATATTTTAGTCACACAACAGAAAGAGTTCTACAGAGCCTGTTGAATCTTTTTATGTAGGGTCAACAGACATCCTTCCTACTAAAGTGAATTAGTCTTCTGACATTGAATTGTGTAAATGACTTTCTCGTGACAGTTTTATGATTTTGTTTTTTCTGTGCAATAAAAACGTTGGCTTGAGAGTTTATTGTTCTCTCATTCCCACTCTCCTCTACAGGCCCTAGGGTGCATCCTCTACCTGTTGTGTTTTAAGCAGCACCCGTTCGAGGAGGGGGCCAAGCTGCAAATCGTCAACGGGAAATACTCCATCCCTCAGAACGACGTCAAGTACACTGTGTATCACAACCTCATACGTATGTACTTCTTTGTGTTTGCTAGTTTCTGCCTGTCCGTTATTCTTCCATCTAGCTATTTCCCTCCACACTTTTTGCCTTCAAATCAAAGTTACCGCATGTCAAAATGACTGTCACCTTTTACCAAAGAAATGTGTTTAGAATTGCACCTTTTAAACATAACGTTCATTTGACTCGGCATAAAGAGATATGCCATGACATGTAAAATAATGGCAGTATCATTAGCTAATCTAATCAAGTTAAACAGCGCCACCTGCTGGGAAATGTAAACCTGCAAATAGTGGCACAAACAAATGCACAACATATAACCTCTATATTTAAATAGTACATTTTTTATCATTTTGATTATTCATGCTGATTGCTGTGCATATGATACATGTTTTTTTAATTAATCATACAATTAAAATGGTCATTTGGGCTGTTACAATATCAGACTTTCATTACACAATCATTAAGCCTAAAATAATAACAGTATTTTTTAATAAATAAAAAAATAAGTCTATCAGTCAAATTACATTTTGTTGAATTTATTTCTTTACACAAAAAAACAAGTGAAGTCTGTGACCATTTAACAGTATCTGGATTATTTACACAATTATTAAATCTGTTATATCGATTGGATGTCAGTATTACATGTTTTCATCAAAGATGTAAAGGATATAACTGTTCAGGGCCTTGCTTTCTTTATGCCTCTGCATCTTTTTGTCATCGTCATTGTTGGATCTCTTCAGATATTTAACTGTAATTTATGTTTCACTCTCCCCCTCTCCCCTTCTCCCCCTCTCCTCCTTCAGGTTCCATGTTGAAGGTGAACCCAGAGGAGCGCCTGTCCATCACAGAGCTGGTCAACCAGCTCCAGGAGATAGCTGCAGCACGAAACGTCAACCCCAAGTCCCCCATTACAGAGGTAGGGGTGCGCATGGTTGTGTTCTGTGCAGTTTTAATAATACAAAATAATACTGCAGCACCAGGCTCCATAAGTGATGCAACAGCAAAACTCTTTCTCTCGTAGACAGGCTATCTCTAGTTTATACTCTGTCATTGTTGGTGGTACTTTTCAAACCCCTTCTTTGATGTTATGGTCTTTAGGTCTAACATTTACAAATCATTTCAAGTATCCAGGCAGTTTCCAATGATGCCTAAAATGCATTTGTTTTCCTTGTCTCAAACTGTCTACAGTGGCTTCTGCTTCAGTTTTCAGTAGGCGATAAACAAGTTTATTGGCAGAGAAATGGGGGCATATCCTCTTTGTCCGCCAGCCTGAGAAGAGGCTATTGATGGGCCAACCCAACGCACAATTGTCAGCGTTCAAGTTGGTGTTGTGGTTACACTTACTCAGTCTCACATGCAACCCACACACACACACACACACACCGCACAACACACAACACACAACACACAACACACACAGAGGCAGGCTCAAAGGAGTCTGTATTCTCTTTCCCAGGCTCCTCTCTTCCCAGCTGGCATGGCCCAAAGAGACAGAGAGGTGGAAAATGGGTCAAACTGAAATAAAAACATGCAGTGATTCCAACACTTTAGTAGTAAAGCACATTTCAAGTTGGAAGCTTAACTGTTAAGGCAGAAATCTGTTTTTGTATTTTATTTTATCTATCACCCAAACTAGCTGATTCATTATCATCAGATTTCAAATTTGAACCAAGGCTTGGGAACAGCAAAACATTTTACTTTGCATAGTCGCTGGGCATCAGAAACTAAGAAGCCTCTAACGCTTCTTAACACAAATCCTGGTACTTATCACCAAATCTGCATCCACTGCGATTTAAGTGTATGAAAAGCTCATTTCAATGTCAAATGTCATAAGGTTTACAGGAATTCCTCTTTATTCCTACAACCTCCTAATGTGCACTTGACCAATTCTACAGCTGAGCCAGTGAATGTATCCTATGATAAGTATAAATAAAAAAACAAATGTTCCTGTCTTTCAGTACTGCAGACACTAGCTTTTTCCTTCTTATTCTAATATTGTGCCATTGCTCAAAACAAATTGTTAATCTTAAATTATTTTGTATTGCAACCAATTTCATACCAAACTGAATCCTAATATGTCTGGTGAATGTGGCAGAGTGAAGGCAGATCTTGTGTTTGCTGATCTGATCAGGGTTTAAAGGGGGTTTCCCTGTTGGAGATAAGGAGATTATAATCCTCCACCTTCTCTTCCTCCTCTTCCTCTCTCTGCTGCTTCTCGGCACACACATAAAAAGAGGCAGACTGAGATGGAGCAGAGAGGAAGGAGAGCAGAACACTTTTGAAGGAAGCAGCACAGATGGAAGTGAAATAGTGAGAGGGAAAGACAGAGACACCCCTGAGGGGAAGAGAGACGCAGAGGCTGACTGACTGTCTCAACGCAGTCTTAGACCCTCCAGTTCTCATCCAAAAAATATTTCACTTTGCACGTCTGATACAAACTATGTGTTTATGATTGTGTTACTTTTTGGGATTCTTTTGAAACCGGGATTTGTTTTATTTAGAGAAAAGACCTGTTGCTTTACACTCTATTGAGTCTCTTTTTCTGTTCCTCTATTTGAGGTCACCTGACTCTGTTTTTCTATCGAGGACTATTTTTACCTTTGCTCAAATGTATTTTGGCATTTGGTGTTGTATCCATTTTTAAGGATGACATGTTTTTGCATCAGTTTGGAACATCTTAGGCAAAATTGTAGGTTGCCAGTTTTTTGCACCTCATTTTGTTTGACTAACTTGTGACAATGATGAGTGCGTACTATTGTTGGCGTCCGGTGTTTGACGGCTATGAATGTCTGCAGCTGCTGGAGCAGAACGGAGGCTTTGGAAACAACGGAGCCCAGCCGCCCATGCAGATCCAGAACGTCCACAACAATGCAGGTGAGGGTTTGTTTTGATGACTATAATATACTGTACTCAGGGTTATGTTTGTTTAAAGTTTTAACAGTTGAAGTAATGAGGGCGAAAAACGATCTGAAAACAAAGCAATAGTGTTAGGGTCATGTTTCTAAAAAGCACAATGTAAAAACTCATTGATTTGCTGAAGGACAACTTATCCAAACATATGATATGATGCACTTTAACAATCTGGCAAAATAACAACTTTTTCAATTCAAATAATCATTCATAGAGCTGCCTCTCAGGTAAATTAACTAAACCTCTTGTTTATAATTAGCCAGGTACACTATTCTTACAAACACAGATAACAAACCTATATCGCTAAGAGTTATACATGGTTATAAGTAATGTCGTAGTTCCCCTATGACCAGCCAACAATAACAATATCCTCCTCCTTTGCTTAATTTATTTATAGAATCATTTTGCCTTATGACTGCGATTTCACATCTTACAGTATGTCCGAAGAAAGAAGCTGAAAGTATGCACGCTCTAGGAATGGAACACTCTTATTTTATGGCTATTTGAAATCAGGATCATCAAACAAAAGTACTTCACCAGAACGTGATATTTCTGTTATTTATCTGTATATTTTCTATAAATGAGCATAATGGGTGTTTCCAAACCTGTGCAGGCTGCTATTAAGAGGATTTCTGCACGCAGAGTCACCCATCTGTCAACATGTTGCTCTTCCTCCTGAGGAGCGGCTTCAGTCCTCCTGTACTTCATACTGTCAGACCTGAGCTATAAATGACTCAATCTGAGTCATTTGCCTGTTGTTGTTGTACATCAACATCCCACAGCTTCACCCAAGCTGACGGCAACCAATTTCATCCAATGCATTTACAAACAATGCATTTGCAGTAAAACAAACAATCCTTTTGACCCTCTTCTAAAAAAAGACGTGTATCATGAGTGTGAGAATTGATACATTGTACCCACATATACATTTATAGAATATGTATTTTACGTTATTTATTGTAGCTTGGCTTTGCTAAAATATTTAAGTCCATTCGGTGATAACAATTTAAAGATTTTAAACTTCCAATTATACACAATGTTTTTGTCATTGTTGGTTGAACTGCGACCTCGATGAACCCACTGTCAGTGCTTTGACACATCTGCAAATCTATTGTATTCAGAATTCTCTCTTTCCCCCCCCCATGCTGCCTTTAGGCATATACGATCCTGACCAGGCGGGCAGCGGCCTCTTTGACATCTTAAAGGGAGGAACCGAGCGCTTCCTGACCAACATCAAGGACACCTCCTCTAAGGTCATCCAGTCAGTAGCAAGGTAAGGTGCACCCACCTGTATACCCTTATCTAAAAATCAATGTTTTATTTATTCATATTTCATTTTGAGTTGTACGCTTTTAACCAAATCTTTACAAAACAGGCTTTATACTTTTTGGGCGATAACGTGTTGCTGAACTCATGATTGACATTATGTTTGTTAACCTGTGGAGTTGACTGAATAATCTTTCACATTTAACACTGGCTACTCTACTTACACATGAGTATACTTATTACTTATTAAGTGGTTACAGCTCCACCATTAGGTTTTCTTTGTTTATCATTTATGCATAAGACGATGTGAAAACATCTGCTGATCATTTACAGTATATTTAGTGTACTTTAAGGATACACTCGTTTTTATTGGCTTGCTCCAACAGTTTTCTAAACGATACTGTTTGTCCATTATCAGTTATCATGTCTCATCCTAGCTACATCAACCTAAAGTAAATGTAGATAATTGAACACCTGCAAATTGTTTATGGAAGCGTTCATACCTACCCTACCCCCACATTTCCATTTTTAAAAGGAACTTTTTGCAGTTGAGAAAGTACCAGAAAGAAACCAACCTTACATATCTCATCTCTCTTTGTAGTTCTTTCAGTAACCTCTGGCATAAGTCAGTTTAAAAGTGGGAGTAATGCAGCAAATATTGACAATGACTGTTGATGCTGCTCACAAGGGTGAGATTGAGAATAAGCAAAGTGTTCCTTTAATAGCCTCTCTATCCATATCCATCAAAGTTTGATGTTTCATTTGGTTATTCCACCATCGGTTTGTTCCATTTGTTTGGTCGTTTTGATTATTTTTTTGTTGTTTCTTTTCTCTGTCCCAATCCCTCATGGTCCCACTATGTGTCCATCACCTAGCAACCCAAGGTAAATATGGGTCGGTGACGTGCGTCAACTCATGCGTTGCTCTGTGTGCTCCCGTAGTGTGTGTTTGATTTAGAGGAAAGAATAAACCCTTACTAAGCCTTTTTGCTGTGCCGTGTCCGCCATCACAGCTTGCTGATCCTAACATAACACATTCAATAATAGATAATTGAATGAATGCAACGCCTGATGTGAATGCACAGGTGAGAATCATTTGGAGTGAATGGTATGATCATATGATTAGAAAATGATATCAGCGAATGAGAAAACAAGCGAACCATATTCCCTGTGCATGGTACAGGAAAAGAATGGGCCAGTCAATCAAAGAGCTGGTGCTGTAGCCAGGGAGGCATCATGGCCTAAAATAAGCAGCCCTTGGTATACTAATCATAGCCTAGCCCTTTTAGCTACATTTAAAGGGGACCTATCATGCAAAATGCACTTTTGTACGTCTTTTATACATGAATATGTGTCCCCGGTGTTCCAGGGAACTCACCAAGTGTCAGAAAACACAACCCTCTCTATTTTCCTCCATACCCAAATCTCTAAAAAAGGGGCTGCAACGGATCTGATAAAAACTGATCCAGATTTGAACACTGTCCTGACGTCAGGACAGTGGCACTACGGCTATTGGGCCAACTCCACCAATCAGGAGGAGACAGCCACGGCCATTGCCGTTCGAAAGCGCTGGAGACGCTGAAGTACATATACCAGGCCAGTAGATGGTGCTGTTCTCACAGAATCAGCCCTTACACAAACAGAGCAAAAAAATGTCAAATTGAGCAAAATGAGGCATGGCTAAAATGCATGATCTGTTTGGTATTTTGAAAAAAAAAAAGTATAAATATGCCTTATATAGGTATGGTCCTACACTATATTATTCAAATATAGCATGATAGGTCCACTTTAAGTAACATTCCCTGACTCCTCCATTTATTTCAAATAAACTATTACATTAGTCAACTATGGGCACCATTTATCTTTAATTTTAGTTAACAATTTTCAATTTTTTTCCATTAGCTTGAGCTATCTATTCAAACCATTAATCAGTTACTTTGGCTAACTTGGCTAACTCTAGCTTACTTTTGAACCATTACTTCCCATTTCATCAATAATCTATTACTTCAAAAACTGTTGCTACGGTTTATTGATGACTTTGAGCTTTATATCTTAACCATTTTGAAATGACTGTCAGATGAAATGTGTATCCATAAATGCACACTATTTTAAACATGTATTTATTACTTTTAAGCTACCTGCTTTTATGTCTCTGATCAATTGCTACCTTTTCATGCACTCGCCACACATGGCTGTTGAGTGCTTAAGTCGACTGAAAATGTGGATCGTTTTTTGTTTTGTCTTTAGTTGATCTATGTACTCGAAAGATGTTTAAATCTTTGCGTATATGAATGGTTGTTTGAAAGAACGAGAGTATGGTAGTTTAGATGTTTTAATATAACTCACTGCTTACTAAATCACAATGTTTCAGCTATAGCTGTGTCCTAACCAGCGTCTCTTGTCTGTCCTGATACCATATCATTGAGTGTCATCAGCTCATATAGATTAATTTATTTTGCTTATGCTCAATTTTAATATTTGGTGGGAATCATGTTGCATTTTGTTTTTGCTTTTGTCGTACAATATGATTTAATTTGCTGTAAAACCAACTGTAGCCTAATTTATTCGTCAATGAACTACCAATAATACTAAAACAAGCTATCGGCAGTGTTGGTCCTCTTCAGCATATTCACATGCAACTGCCAGGTGCGTATAATCTACATAAAGGACAGATAAACTGGGTTCTTTTTAATCCAGTTTGCATCATTTTGTCAGCCTTTATTCAAACTGATTTAATTAATTGATGGTGTGGTAGGCCTTGCAGAGATGCTCTTTAAGGCCTCACATAGGACCATCTCCACCCTGCAACATTGTGGCTTTTGTTATTTATCAATTGTATAGAAGTGTATTTTAAGACAACACTTCCTTGTTTCTGAGACAGTTTGTGTACCAAGCTGTTTATTAGTGGTTTTATTTCTGCAGTGTGGTAGATATTAGTCCACTTTATTTCTTGTAGATATGTTTCCTCCCGACCATGTTGTACACACACTCTTTTCATTAGTGCACTTGTAATTTCTCTTACAGCTATGCCAAAGGGGACCTTGATATTTCCTACATCACCTCCAGAATAGCAGGTATGCATTTGACCCTCTATAAAACATACTTGTACCTTCTTTAATCCCCTGTTATGTCATCTAGACATTATTCTATATTACATGATGGACATGATTTTAGAGGTTATTTCATTCAGATATAAAAGCCATGTCAGGTAATATCTTAGCTTCTCTTTAACATTTTGATGAAGGGGATAAACCTTTGATTTATTGGTTACACATATTTCTCTTTGTAGTCATGTCCTTCCCAGCAGAGGGGGTAGAGTCGGCGATAAAGAACAACATCGAGGACGTCCGTCTGTTCCTGGATTCCCGTCATGCTGGCCACTATGCTGTCTACAACCTCTCCAAGCGATCATACCGGCCTTCTCGGTTCCACAACAGGGTACGTTTGTGTATGCATGCCAATAGATGCTTACTAGGGGTGGGAATCACCAGGCTCCCCACGATACGATACTATCGCGATACTTAAGCCAAGATACGATAGTATTGCGATTCTACGATATACTAAGTATTGCGATACGATATATTGCGATACGATTTGTTTTGACTAACTTCCTGCCAATCCCACTCTCTTCACCCATGGCCATGACCACACAAGAAAAGGCTCAGCACCAGCTAGTGGATTGAAAAAGCAATTGTTACCAAAAACTTTCATTTTGATTTGCAATATGAATAGTTTATATAATAAAATATCGATACTTGGCGTCCGTGTATTGATACAATATCGCCAGGCAAAGTATCGCAATACTATGCTGTATCGATTATTTCCCCCACCCCTAATGCTTACTTGTTCACTCTTAACAGTCACAGTGTCAGCAGTGGTGTCGTCTTTTTGGCACTCTAATATAGAGGTTTTTATTAGCAGTATTTGCCCTTGTTTACGTTTTGTGCAGCTTTACAATATCCCTGTTGTATTCAGGTGTGTGTCTTTATCTGTGTGTGTAGGTTTCAGAGTGTAACTGGCAGGTGCGCCGTGCCCCCAACCTGCGCAGTCTCTACAGTGTGTGTAAGAACATGCATCTATGGCTCAAACAAGACCAGAGGAACATCTGTATAGTACACTGCCTGGTAAGTTGAGATGAGTTAAGATGTCCAACATGCATGCTCAGATGTAAATACATGGTAAGGGCAGCTTGAATACATTTAAATGTCATCTCCGTCTTTGTTTCTGTAGGACGGCAGGGCAGCATCAGCAGTGGCAGTCTGCTCCTTCCTGTGTTTCTGTCGCCTTTTCACCACAGCTGAGGCGGCCGTCTACATGTTCTCGATGAAGCGCTGCCCCCCCGGCATAGCACCCTCACACAAGAGGTAGAGTCATGGCAGAGATCCCCATCAGAACCCAAATTATTCCTTTTTAAGCTTAAAGCACAAGGATCCTGATTTTGCCTTTGATCGTTGCAGGTATATTGAGTATATGTGTGACATGATGGCAGAGGAGCCCATTGTCCCTCACAGCAAGCCCATAACCATTCACTCCATCGTCATGACACCAATGCCGCTGTTCAACAAGCAGCGAAACGGCTGCAGGCCCTTCTGCGAAGTCTATGTTGGAGACGAGAGAGTCCTCACCACATCGCAGGAGTACGACAAGATGAAGTAAGTCCATTCACCAACAGAATAATACTTTCTAAGAGGAGTAAATCATTTCCATTATTTATGACATCTGTGATATTTTTGCTCTTTCCAGGGATTTCAGGATGGAGGATGGGAAAGCGGAGATTCCCCTCAATGTGACAGTCCAAGGAGACGTACTGGTGGTGATCTACCATGCTAGATCTACGCTAGGAGGACGTCTACAGGCCAAGGTACATGCACAACGACAAGCGTAAATGCACATTGACTATGATTTGTAAGTTGCACTTTGTAAACACAACTTTCAAAGTTGCCCCTTCCTCCCTGGGAGGATGAACAGGGTGCTCACCAGCAGGTCATTTAGTAACAACTTTGGTCCACTTGCCATTTCCTCTTGCTAAATGTGTATTTGTCAGCACTGTGTCCAGCATTTGCCTAGCTTCCACCTGGATGCGTACTTAGGTTCTGGCACCCTGCCACATTATATACAGTATGTTGACGCCTATAAACTTTCCTAACCCAGGGTCAATGCAGCCACACATTTATAGAGGGTCATATGTAATGGTGAAGAGGGATTATACTTTGGTTTTTAGAAAAATCATTTTGCCTTTTTAAAATGCATCACTGCACATTCTTCACAAAAAACTAAGTTTAAACTCTCTAATGTTTGTGTTTCAGTTGGCATCCATGAAGATGTTTCAGATCCAGTTCCACACAGGCTTTGTCCCCAGAAACGCAACCACTGTCAAATTTAACAAGTATGTACAACAGTTTGAGAGATGCAGTACTTTTTTACTAAACAAGATCCTTGTAGTTCAAGCTTCACATGTCTTGTTTCTTGAACAATGATATCAACTCTTTCATTTTTTATTTACCTCTTGACATGTTCTTTTTCTAATAACTTCCTGTTTCCAAACGACCTTTTCACCTGGCAGGTATGACCTGGATGCCTGTGATATCCAGGAAAAGTACCCAGACTTGTTCCAGGTCAATTTGGACGTCGAGGTGGAACCCAGAGACAGACCCAGCGCCAAGACCCCTCCCTGGGAGGGCTTTCAGACCAAGGGCCTGAACCCCAAAATCCTGTTTTCCTCTCGAGATGAGCAGCAGGAGATCCTCAGCAAATTTGGTAAGTGGCATTGCTTTACAAGAAAAGGGCTTTTGGATTAGGATTGTTAGTTTTCTTTTTACATTTCTTTTATCCATCGGTTTCTCAGTTCACTTTGATATCAGACATCTTTCTGTTTTTCTCCAAAGTATGTTCTTTTTGTAATTCACATGTAACCTAACCATTACATTGTAATCCTCACAGGTAAGCCTGAGCTGCCTCGTCAGCCCGGCTCTTCTGCTTTTTATGACTCCGAGTCGCCACAGCCGGCTCAGACTCCAGAAGGCATAAACCCAACAGAAGTAGAATCTCCTGCCAGCACCGATAGCAATGCCAACAACTTCTTCCAGACACTGGATTGGGAAGGTAATGTACTTTTGTTCTCGTCATAATTGCATATATATTTTATCTTGTGAACATTGGCAAAATGACCTACATTTTCCCCTTTTGCCCTGGTACTGTAACTATTATCATCTATTCTGAATAAGGATAATTAATTTTCTCATTTTCTCATACTGGATTCAAAACATAAAACATTCCCTGACCTCTTAACCTCTCAATAACTGTCCCACCTAATATTTGACCCTCTTCTTGTATTTGTAGATGTGGGTGGCCATCAGGATGCCTCAGACATTCAAGGAGGGGGGTACATGAATGAGGAGGAGGACCTGAGTGATCAGTCAGAAGGAGAGTCCTACTCTTACTCTGCCCCTGGGGGGGAGCCTCTGTCACGGGACCCCAGTGAACCTCTGTTTGATGCTGACTTCCAGGTACAGTGTGACTGCTATGAAGTACAGCCCAAATGCGTAATTTCTACAAACATCTCATTCATTTCTGTCTTTGTGTCCTTTCCTCCCCCCAGAGTTCCCCTCCTGCAGCCCAAGAATCTACCATTGATGACACAGCTGACCTCTTGGGTTTGAACTCTGGCCCCTCCATGTCCTCCACCTCCTCCACCTCCTCCTCTGCTCCTCCTCCAGGAGTCCAGGGGGGAATGAAAGCAGCATCCAGTAACAGTGACCTCCTCAACGACCTGTTTGCGCCCCCTGCTGGTCAGACAGCAGCAGTGCAGGAAGACTTGTTCTTCAGCGAGCCAGCCAGTGGGAACACATCAGACTCTAAATGTAAGGGTGGAGGTGTTAGAAAAATACTCGTCACCGGCTTGAGCTTCAATATCAGGATACATGTATTTATTATCCCTGCTAGAATGGAAGTAGTCATCACATACAGAGCATATGATACAACTAGTTCCCAGAACAGTGTCCTTCACATGCTTATATACAAGAGAGGGTGTTTCATAGTCACAAGATGCAGAATACCGGTTCAAAGCAGTATTCAATATTTAGTTTAGATTAGCTAAGGCCCACGTAAGCAATAAACATGACAGTCATATGCCTATCTCCCTAGGGGCTGAATCATCATGTTTAATCGTTGGAACATAGCTATCGTATGTTCAACACTAGGGATGGGTACCGAGCCCCGGTATTAAACGGGCCCCGGGGCTGATTTATTAAAGACCGTGGTACCGTTAAGCTGCGACGTTATCGGTCTTTTTATCGCTACTGGAGACATTTAAAAAATATATCTCATATGTATTATGCTACACAAACATTATATTGCCGTTTTAGTGTCGCCAACTCCGTTTCTAATATGCAAAAAGACTACAAAATGCGTCTATGATTATTTTTAGTATTTTCGATCTTTCCAATCCAGACGAGAGATCTCTCTCCCCCGTCTGCTTGCGAGGGGGCGGGGCAGTTTACACACACGCAGCTGCTACATGCAGCAACACACACACGCGGAGGAGATGGCGGAGAGAACGCGCTCCGAGGTGTGGTTAAACTTTACCCGTCTCGATGTGGACAATGCTCGTTACCTAAAGTGCAATAAGAGTTCAGCATGTAAGGGCGGTAACACGAGCAATTTGTCTAAACATCTTTCAAAAGTGCACCACATTCAGACGGAGAAATGCACCGTTTTCGACTGTCTTTCTAGTAGCTCTATAACCCCATCCACTGTAATGTTTCCACGTCAGGTATGTTATGTATGCTATAGCAGCAACACACAGAGTTAACTCAATTATACAAACATGGGTTAATGATTAGAGGTAACCAAGTTATTTATTTTGTTAAAGTTTCAGCTATTCTGTTTACAGTTCTGTCATCACATTATTTAATATGATTTGTTAAAACATTGTTGTTTCTTTTGATGTGAAATATTATGTATTTAATTTAAATAAAAAGCAATGTTAGTTTTGTTCATAATTTGTTTAGTTAGTTTACCTTATTAGTTAGTTAGTTTAACCGATAAAAGTACCGTTAAAAGACCGGATCGATAAGCGGTATCGATCAAAGTAGTAGTACCGTTAAAACCTTAACGATACCCATCCCTATTCAACACAGTGTCTCATGAGCTTCTTCTATGTAATCATACATCCGGTTACGTACACAGCTACAGTTGGGCCTTTGATATCATGTGCTACTCGGATATTGAAGGAGTACATTCAGTATTTTCCCAACAGGAGGCTTTATATTTGCTTGCTGCATTGTTTAAAAAAACTTCACAGCCGTCTTTAATCCATCATTATTTCCTCCTACCTCGCTGCAGCAATGGGCGACCTGTTTGATCCATTTGGGATGGGCTCTGGCTCTGGGGTGGGCCCCACTGTGGGCTCCTCTGGGCCGGACCTGTTTGGAGACCTGTTGGGCTCTGATGGTTCAGCTCACAGTAACCCCACTCCTGCTTCTAACACAAGCCTCTTCAACCTCAGTGAGTACTACTGGGACATCACTTAGCGTTATGTCTGCTTCGAGGAGAGATGATTTACACACACCCTGCACACAGGCTAATATGCCTATATGAGCGGCTTGTGTGCAGGCTGCGTCTCTTGTAGAGATAAAAGGTCCGCCTTTTTTCTGTATGACAATGAAAAGGATTTTTAATATTGTATTGACATCATACCAACAACATTACTTCAATTGAATTGATTTATTTTCAGATGATGTCACAGACATGGAATTAAGTAAATATTTATTTTCTACTCAACCCTTAATGTTTCTGTTTCAAAGCAAAAGCTCTCTAGCACTATTCTGTGGACGGAGCTGCATAGCTCCAAATACTTAAAGGGAAAAAACAAACTAGTTTCGATTATTATTTGCAAATGAACATATGCTTCTCTTTCCTAAATATAAATGACATTACTTTTTAAATGAAAACTCTCCAGCAACAAACCTATGTTTTTTTTCTTAGTTTTCCTGGACAAACAATTTCCCTAGTTTCCACAAAATCTAATGTTGCCGTCTCATTGTTCCTCATTTGGCAACAGGAAATAGAAACATGCAACAGAAACTCAATTGGTGATACTTTTGATCTTTTTATTTACAGATAAGCTAGTGAAGGATGTCCCTAAGATGACATCATCGGCCAGTCAACCAGACCTGCTGGGTGGGTGGGACAGCTGGGCGGCGGGCTCCACCGCTAACATGAGCGCCACCGCTAGCAAACCCAGCTACACCAACACAGGTGTGTGGAGGAGCCTTTTGAAGGGACTCAACATTAACTGAGCACTTTGAGTTTGGTGTATTCTGTGTAGACCATATGGAACATTTAAAAACAAAACAATTATTTGTAATTGAAAACCTTTATTGACACTATAGAAAAAAGCAGCGAGAATTTTCATAATGCACCCCCCCCTTAGAACACACAAATACAATGTTTATTGAGACGAGGCTGTTCAAATTTAAAGATTTAATTGATCCACAGACTTCTTTACTTATGCATAAAGCAAAAAAAAGAATACTGCCAGAAAACATTTTTAAAAAATGGTTTTAACTTCAGTGGATGAGCATCAGTTTAAAGCAGATGTGTATCTCTGTAGCTGGTGTTAAATTGTGGAATTCATTACCAAACTATTTAAATGGCTGTAAGAACATCTTTAGGTTTAAGAAAATGTATAAAGAAATACAAATGTGAAAGTATGAAGATGTCAGACAACCGTTGTTGCTGAAGGTACACAAGATTGTTGTGTTGACATTTGATTGTGTTTTTGGTAATGTAACTGTTAGTATTTGAAAACAGCTGTGACTGACATACCATTGATTTACATTTAATTTGATTTTTTGAACAAGGGGCAGGTAAAATAAACTAATAAATAATACCTCCCATGTTGTTGTGTCTGTAGCTTCTGGTGGGATACCCATGTCGAAGGCCAAGTCCCAGACCTTTGATCCTTTTGCTGACCTAGGAAACCTTGGCACCAGTTTACCAGGTGAGAGACTCGGTCAGATATCTAATCGCCTGTAATGATGATACCGCTCAGTATTGCTAACAATGGAATACGAGAAAAACATGACCTTGTTTACCTTTTTAAATCATTTACTATCATCCTTCTGTGTTACTTGCAGGTTCATCCAGCAGTAATATTCCGGGGCCTTCATTTAACTCAAAGGCTCCTCCCCCCTCTGCTAAATCTCAAGCCCAGCCCTGGCAGGCTGGCAGACCCCCCACAGCCCAGAGCAAATCCTGGATGGCTGGATCTGGACCTGGTTCTGCCCCCAAAGCCCCCTCTGCCTCTCAGCCCGCAGGACCACAGTCCACCAAACCCAACTACAACCTCAACTTCTCCAGTGTCATTGGTGGGAGGGAGGACAGAGGAGTTCGTGGGCTTGGATTTGGTAAGAAAGGCTATTGATCATTTTAATGATTGAGTTTTTTATTATCACGCAAATATTGTTTTTCTCAGCAAACTGAAATAAACAAATGTGATTAGTTGTGAGCACTGGAATTCACTATCTACTGAAAAAGGAAGTGAATTCAAGAGATAAGAAGATAAGATAAGAAGTACTTTATTGATCCCAATTTGGGTTATGTTTTCGTTGCAGCAGCATAAAAAGACACAGCATTGTACATAAGAGAAATTAAAAGACTATAAATAAACAATCCAAAATGTAAACATCTCAAATAGAAATAAAATAGTAGTTCTCAAAAAAAATGTAAAACCTATGTTCTGTGTTTTAACGCAGGCGCCAAGCCCAAGGTAAAGGAGGACGATTTTGAAGACCTGCTGTCCACTCAGGGTTTTGCCTCTAGGCCTGATAGGAAGGGACCAAGGACAATCGCTGAAATGAGGAGGCAGGAGCTCACTAAAGACATCGATCCACTCAAATTACAGGTGACAATTTAAACACACATGTGAAAGACATACAAACCCCTGAAAACACATATTATTCCAACCAAATTGTAAAATGTTTGTGTTTTCCTGGTAAAGTGGTAACGGTTTGTTTTTGTTGTCGTGCTGCAGATCTTGGACTGGATCGAGGGGAAGGAGCGGAACATCCGGGCGCTGCTGTCCACTCTTCACACGGTGCTGTGGGAGGGGGAGACCCGCTGGAAGCCGGTGGGCATGGCTGACCTGGTGACCCCTGACCAGGTGAAGAAGTTCTACAGGAAGGCTGTGCTGATTGTCCATCCAGATAAGGTACAGTAAAGAAATGCTGCTTATGCATTTATTGGTGTTAAAAACGAACCCCCTTCCAGACACTGACAAGGCAACATTGGATGGATACTGTTTTTTATCATTGGGCAAACATTTCACAATAACTTTTCATTATGTTGTAATTCACGTGATACCCCAGGGTAGGCAGTTTTTAGAAAAATACCAAAAAGTTGTAAAAATATGAAAATACATCCTCATCCTGCACCACTCCTATCTCCGTCTTGACCCCTTTCCAACATCTGTGGGTGTAGTGGCCGATTATGTATAATAGAATGTTCAAAGGCCACTTAGTCTACGAGGCGAATTAGAGTATTGACTCACGTAAATTGAAGAAATCAAAATACCTTGCATCGTTCCATTCAAGTGCTTTATACAAAAGTTCAATTGATCAGTAGGCGGCCCACTACCTACTTGCAACATTTGGCATTTAAATAACGGGCGTGCGGATGTGTGCGGTCAAACACTTTTTCCGACTTCCCCTATAGACTTCCTGCTGTGTCACGCCGGCAGCGTCATTTAAACTCGAGAATGCGCACTACGTTCTGCTTTCTATAAATAATAACAAAACATAAAACTAGAGCAGTCCATAAAAATAAAAATAAACAGTATAATTATAATTCATAGTTATTCAGCTAGTTAGAGTTAGCTTAAAAGAATATGCAATTAGCCCCTTGAGATGAGATACTGTGATTGGCTCTGGCTGTCTACAATGTCAGCAAAGTGTTTAAATTCATAGATGAGAAAATAAAAAAAGTTGCAGAGTGAGTTATAGAGAGCTGCCTCGAGCCTTTGGCTACTGGCAGCAGAAGGCTCAAATATCCTCTCTTAAGTCCCGGAAATTTGAAGTAAGTCAGTCTTCCTTTTTGGGATGCTTTGCAATGTATTCAGTTGTTGCCAATTCTGGATTTGCATCTTTTCCTGCACGATATTCCTCCGTTGACATGCACTCAACTGCATTTGTACAAGAGTGTATACAAATGTTCTCTCCTGCTCTTTCTCTGAAATTGGCTAAAGTCTCCCTTCATGTGCTGAATGTATTAAAACCAGAAAACAGACAAGAGGAGTTACAGAAGTGTTGTTTTCTCTCACACCACGCCTTACCGTATGCCAAAAGTTAATTAAAAAAATAATATTAAAGTGCCTAGCCCAGCTTTAACTGTTCTTTATTGATTGGCGAATGTATTCTCTCTCTCTGCAGGCGACAGACAAGCCTTACGAACATTACGCTAAGATGATCTTCATGGAATTGAACGACGCCTGGTCAGAGTTTGAGAACCAGGGATTCAAGTCACTCTTCTAAAACCCTGGTCTGGTTTCCAGCTAGACCAGATCAGACTGGCTGGATTTTGCCTAACCAGACGGGTTGGACTGGGCCACATTGGACAGGACTGAGCCCACATTGGGCCTTAGGGGGCCGGAGCCTCTGAGAGGTGTCCTCTCTACCATTCCCTTCACTCCCTTCTTCCTTCCTTACTTTCTTCTGTTTCTACAGTCAAGGAAAAAGACCGTTGGCCTCATGTCCGGCTGTAGAAAAGAAATGTCCTCACTGGTTCATAAAGAGCCAGTAAATAAACATTGTGATAGTACTTAAACTCACTGCCTACCTGTACGACTGCCTGAGTGGTGCTGCACACATCTGGAGGGGAAGAACGAGTGACAATCACATGAAGAAGACAAAATCTAAAAAAGATATCAGATAATACAAATACTTAAAAAAAATACCCAGCTGGTTATCCTGTCATAGGTTTAGATACAAAGATTTAATGACCCCCCACACTTATAAAAATGCTGGTCTAATCATCTGTAGCTGGCAGGTTTGTCATTAGTGCCTGGCACTTTAGCAAACAACCGGTCATTTCACTGACTGGTAAAAAATAAAAAAATGAACATGGCTGTACATTTTTCAGCATGCCGGCCGACAGTGTTTTTAAGCTTTGTTGCCTCAAAAAACATTGAATGTTGCTGATGAATCTTGGTAACAACCAAACACAGCATCCAACGGACAAAGAAAATATATCCTGCCTCGGATGAAGAAGCAGGATTAAAAATATCCGGAGGATTTTAAAACAAAAATACATCTAATGATAATATTAAAACTAGAAGTGCTACCTTTTGGGCTCAACAGTTAGTTGGGTTTGATGTTGAGCAATTTATTCTCCAGAAGTACTTTGTCTGCTGAACACTACTAGTGCTGCTTCTACCATTACAGTGACTGCTACACACACTCCTCAGATTGATGTTAAAATCTGCATCCCAAATTTCTGACAGGAGCTGAACTTGTTTTGGAGCCCCATATAAACCTAAGCGGGCAGTCTGTTGTTTTTTGAAGTGCTCTTTTAATTCCTACCCACTCAGGCTATACTGTGTAGCTAACTGCATGCTCTCACACACCAAACCCCTCATCAACAGGGGGTCGGTGTGTTTGATTTCAAACCAGGGTAGTCCGATTGGACGGGGGCTCTTTTATTGAAGTGCTCTTTTTCTTGTAGCAGATTCAGAGAAGAGTGTACCTGCCTGATACAGTTGTGTGACTTCATGCCTTTTCCAGCATCACTGTCATTATTAACCCCTCTGTATGCCCCCCCCACCACCACCATCTTCAGCGCTCAGTTCATTGGACATTTCTTTTTCAGTGCATAGGAGGAGATCAAAAAGTGAAGGAATAAAAAGAGACTTTAGTGATTTATTCTGGTTGCTATAAGTTTTCTGTGTAGGTTTGTTTTGCCCTTTTTGTCAGTTAATCATCAATTCAATGTAAATATGAAAATAATATCATCCATCAAGTGGCTTTATTAAGATTCCATCCTGGGGAGCTGATTTATTATGGAGCTTCATGCTTTACTGTGTGAATGGTTGAGTGAGTATGTGTGCAAGTCAGTGTGTGCGAGTGTTTCTTTCTGGCAAAAGATAATGAAACCTTATTGGACATCATGCTTTTTTGTCTGCAATCACAATCTTTTCTTTCTTAATTTAATTTCTTCCAGCCTCTCACACTTCAAACAAGTATTTCCAACTTTTTCTTGCTTTTTTTCCCCCCTTTTTCTATTTTCTTTATTTTACATTTTACCTCATGGACCAATCAAATCACCTGTTTTTCGTATTTATTATATTTTTTGGGAAGGTTGGGGTTATAAGGACATGTATTCATGCATATTGATGGCACAAGTGAAATTGTTCAGATAATATATAAGTGGAATGTGCTGAAAGTGGGACAGTCGGTGGTTGATCAGTGAGCCTCTTTGTTGCTGTTTCCATTCCAAAGCATCTATTAATACGAATGTGCTTTTATGAAATATATATATATATATATCCTCTCTGTTGTTAAACTGTATATGTTTATCATTTGTCTGTTCAGTTTTTTGTTGTTACCTTTTTTTTTTTTCTTTACTCTTGCTTGTTTCACATTTTGAACTTCCAACATGAGGGGCCAGTAAACCTAAGTTAGAAAAAAATGAATAAGCTGATGCTTGAATTCAGTTCTTTGAAAGTATCACAGCACAAAGAGGGAGGATTGCAAACCACACATCTGCAGTGTTAACTGTACCAAATTACATCATACTAATATGAATGTAGATTTCAATGCAAAAACAAATAAAAACCTTTTGATTTGAGGCAAATTATTTGGTTTCATAGTTTGTTTTGAAGTTTCTTGCTTGCTACACATCACATAAATCAGACAGATGAGAATGTATTAAACATTGTAAGAAATAGCCGACTTATATGCCGCATACACTGGTAGAAACTTGGCCATCAGTGTGCTAAAGGTACTGACCATTGCACTTCAGAATCCTCACTAATCCTCATGTTACTATATGCTTGATCCTTATAATTAACTTTGAAACTGGGCCTGCTAAATGGATGCCATCAATGTGAGGTGTAACCAAGTTTATCAATGGTGCATAAACTTCAACATTTGCATTTTTTTAATGGGTTGTGAGTTTTGTAAGTCAAAGTCTTTATATCCATAACCCTTTTAAGGAAATTCAAAGGGTTTATTACTTAAAGGTCACGTATTATGCTAAATCCACTTTATGTCTTTTATACATAAACATGTGTCCCCTCTGTGTAAAGAGATTCTCTCTCTTTTAGTCCTGATCCATTTAAAAACCTGTCTGAAAATGAGCTGATCAGATTTTGGCCACTTTGTCATAACGATTTTTTGGCTTGTGTAACCATTAGCCAAAAACCAACAAAGGTAGCCCCCACCCACCTTATCACCTGAATCTCCTCCTAGAGCACAATTTGGGTTTTTGTAACCAAATATCTCGCAGAGGGGCGTGGGGAGTGGCTCCTTGTTTTCATCTTAAGTAAAAGACAGAGAATCAGCACTTTTGAACTATAATATATTGATGAAAAACAGTATAATAGGGGACCTTTAATGTTAGTTGAGTTTATAAAGCTGTGTTTCTCATTAAGAAGAATTCAAATGGTCACATCACAAGGCAATTTGAAATTCTATGACGAAGGATATTTAAAACAGACTAAAGTAGCCGACTACCGGAGGGGCAAGTCGAGAAATTAAATGAGTCCCTACAATATTAAAGTGGACCTATCATGCTATATTTTAATAATATAGTGTAGGACCATACCTATATAAGGCATATTTATACTTTTTTTTTTTCAAAATACCAAACATCATGCATTTTAGCCATGCCTCATTTTGCTCAATTTGCACTTTTTTAGCTCTGTTTTGGCAAGGGCTGATTCTGTGAGAACAGCACCACCTACAGGCCTGGCATATGTACTACAGCGTCTCCAGCGCTTTCGAACGGCAATGGCCGTGGCTGTCTCCTCCTGATTGGTGGAGTTGGCCCAATAGCCGTAGCGCCACCGTCCTGACGTCAGGACAGTGTTCAAATCTGGATCAGTTTTTATCAGATCCGTTGCAGCCCCTTTTTTAGAGATTTGGGTATGGAGGAAAAGAGAGAGGGTTGTGTTTTCTGACACTTGGTGAGTTCCCTGACACACCGGGGACACATATTCATGTATAAAAGACGTACAAAGGTGCATTTTGCATGATAGGTCCCCTTTAAGCAAAGACTTGTATCGCCCAAATTGTTAACAGCATGTCAGAAGCCCAATTGATACGGATGGTCCCCATATACGTTGGAACAAAGCTAAACCTTAAGCCAGTAATCATTTGAACCCTTAAACAATTACCAATTAAAAATTACCATTTGTATCTCCAAAGAAAAAACATAGCCACACTATTCTTTACAGGTTGCATTTCTAAAAATCTGATATTGTCAGTACAGAATTGATAGAAAATTGAGAGAATATACTGTATTTCGCATTTACTAGTCATGTCCCTTACGCAATTAAATGCAAACCATGTCTCCTGATCTGTTGGGTGTGAGTGATAGTGTATATAAAGAACAACAAGTACTCCTGCTTCACAATGAGCTTTATTTCAAACGTGGACCAACATCATCCCATCAATCAAATCACCAGATCACATTACGTTTCCTTTCCAGAGCACAGACTTTGAACAAAACTGTAGCACATCATAGGGTCTATACAAAATTGATAAAAAAAGTGAAAGAAAAGAGGACATTTCGGGCATGGCCTCTCAGCTCACCCCTGCCCCCCAAACTGTCTTTTTCCAGTGGCCATGCAACCAAAAACTCCCGCTATAGCGTCGGCACTTAGGCCCAATCCCAAACCACGCCCTACACCCTACCCCTACACACTCCCCCTCCGTGACAGATTGAACTGCGTGGAGTGACACTCTCAGCTCAACGAGACTCCCTCCTGTCAGATGGAGGGAGTAAATACACGGCAAGCTTTGGGACAAACTCCCCTCTCTCCGGCAGAAACAGGAAATGCCGTAACTGTATGTAACAACGGTTTCAAATCAGCATCTCTTAGACAAAAAATTAAAATTAATAACTAAAATAAAACCCCAAACATCTTTAATTGTGTTACTTTTTTGTAAAGCTCTTTTAGTTTTAAACCTGATGTTTATAAGCTTCTTAATTTTTGCAACAGTCTGTAAATATACACAACTTTACAATAAAATGCACACATTTACCTTTTTCTTGACCAAACACAGGTATACGATCCTAAGTAAAAAAAATATGAGGTTATCATGAGGTTGTTAACATCGCAATTTATCAGCGGATGTTTGCTGGAACTACTTGTAAACAGCGTGTTTCCTGACGGACACACAGCGTTGAGACCGGTCAGGTAGAGACCGGTCTCCAGTCGGCACCGATGCAGACTCGCTGTTTGATGTCTTGATAGCCCACTCCCCCTCCACACCGCTCCACACTCATTGGTTTGGAACAGCAGTTAATGTGGCGGACCCTCCGTGCGAACGCACAAACGGAGGGGTAGTGTGTAGGGGTAGGGTGTAGGGGGCGGTTTGGGATTGGGCCTTAGTTTCGGCAGAGAGAACTGGAGGACAGAAATGAAGGCTGGGGAAAGTTTGATGGTAAAAAAAGACCTCTCGAAAATGGGAAGTTTTCCATTCCACATGAACAGGCCCCAGTACAACTATAGCCACATTCATCATTGTTACAGGTTTCACATGCATTGGTTATATCTCTCACAGGCTCCGCTCTCTACTGGACTCTATGGGTACTACCTTATCATGCAAGCATTCACCTACCGGGGTTGCGTTCGAATACTCCAAAAAAACAGCTCCTAAGTTCTAACCCTATCGTCTATTCCTTGACCTCGGAGTGAAACGTCATGGGGTTAAGGGATAGTGGATAGGAGAATTCAAAAGGATTTAGGAGAAGAGACTGCGGCACTTTAGAGAATCCGACTGCACTTTCACTATCCGACGTGTTTATGATGCGCCAGCAGAGGTCATAAATGTGCGCCTGCTGCTGTGGGGAAACTATGGAAACTACAGTTTTCTATACAGCGGACTACAACATGGATGTTTAATAAGAACGAGGGACTACTGTAAACTCATCTAGAGACTCTGCACCGTGCTCTGATGCTGTTATTCTTTATGAACGGGGACAACAGAGAAACATATTCTTCATGACCAAAGTTGGAATTGAAATAAAAAAGGAAAGTGAAACTTATGCTCGTCACCCTCTCCCTCCGGTCCACATTAATACAAATGATCCCAATACATATGATTGTATGAAAAGATCTTCAAATCAATACAAATGTATTTATTATAAACGTTAGTCCTTAACATCTATCACTGTGTATATCACCATTCAAACATCTTTTAAAGTTGAACAAACCCCACACAGCTCAGTAAAGACTGTGAAATGTTGACTTTATTTCATCATTTCAGTAAAAACTAACGTTCATATTTCTCTTTTTGATTATAATACTGATGAACGTTCAAAACAAAGCACTTTGGCAACTTACCACATACGTTTTAAAATGCTTAATAAGCACCGTAACTTTCATGATATCATTTCTCGTTCATAATCGGTTGTTTCCGTGAACGGCCGACTGTTGTGTGACGGCAAATGCTGCGGCCGCAAGGCATTGTGGGGCAGCATTTTCTCCTCTCCTTTCGGTTAGGGAGGTCCAGTGGTTCCTAGGCTAAAGGAGGTTATAAAGGAAGTTTGAAACCTCCTTTCCTTTTAATTTAGAGAATTCGAACGGCACTTATCATGGCTGCCACTGAGGGACTTCCGGGTCATTTCACTCCGTTAGGAAGGTTCCTAAGCTAAATGGACTATTCGAATGCAACCTGAGACTTCTATAGACGTAGCCGGCCCCGGGGCGGGCCTACCTGAATGCGCGCGCATCTCACCGCATAAAAGGAGGCCTCGCCTCCTGACCGTCATCCCTTTCTCTTCAGCGAGCGGAAGTGATACTGAGCTGAAAGACGTATGAGAGAAAGTGATAGGAATTTAGAAATGGAACCACTCCTGGAGCACCGAAACTGTCCGACATGCCCTGGCCTGATTGCGGGTGGTCGCCTTCGCGGAGGGGGAGGATGACGAGGACGCCTCGTTAACCGACACCTTCGGTTCCGGTGGCCAGGAGGGTCCAGCACACAGGTCTGCGCGGCTGGACTTCCCAGCGGTGATGACCCTGGCGGCGGAGCGTGTAGGCTTACCGCTCCCCCCACCGCTGCCACCAAGGCCTGTAAGCCGCCTTCGGCAGGGGTTTTATGGCCCGGTGCTTCCGGCGCAGCCGGCCTTCGTCTCGCCCCCGTTGCCAGATATCTGGCAGTGTGTGGAGGCGACGTGGCGGCGTCCACTGAGGACGAAGGCCCCAGTAGTAGCCACGACGGGCATCATTAGGGTGCAGGGCCACTCGGACACAGCGTGTCCCGGCGTGCCCCCCCTCGATGCCGCAGACAGCTGGTTGGGCGGAGTGGAAGAAACCTCTGCCCCCGCTGCCGCGGGACCGAGACACCCTGGAGTATTTGGACAAAATGTTCAGGCTCTGTGCACAGAGCAGGACGGGAGTGATTATCCGGACCGCTGCATAGGTCAGATGAACAATCTGATCCATGGAGTGGCCGCCGCAGCCGGGCGGGTGATGTCCTTGGCCACAGTGGCGTCGAGTCACGTGTGGCTAGGACTCTCCACAAGGCCTCTGCCTTCACTTCAGTCACTGTCTCGCAGACATCAAGTGTCTGGACATGCAAAGTCAACACGGCATACATTATGAAACACCATGCAACATGCACACAGATGAACGAATGGTA